CAAAACCAGCAACATACTCCACTATATCGCAGGAAACATCAGTAGTCGTGTCAAAAATTGTTATCATGACTTCTTCTTCGACGTCACACACTTCCTCTTCGTCTTGTATCTCGAAGTTCCCTCCTCGCCATCCTGGTATGGATGTGTTTATGTCTCGGATTTCATCGGTTTTCCTATTCAAAGAGAATATCAGGGACTTGTTAAGCGCAAGGGTGTTCCCAGTGTTTGTTTCGACTAGCTCCTTATGCAATAGAATTCTCTTAAATGAGCTAGTGAACTCCTTGCAAGTAGGGTTATTATTGTGGCCACCTCGTGACCTAATGTATCCAAAAAGTCTCTCAAGGTGATCTTGACTCACCTTATAAACTGGCAAATACTTCTAGGGTTTGTCTTCGCCATTTACATATTTATTATACATGGATAAGGTGCTGTCAATACACACAATTAACCCAAGGAATCCAGTTTTACGTCGGGAAACCAATATTGGCACACCACTTCCATCTTTCAGGCCACATATGTATTCTTTTGCTCTCAGGAGAAACTCAGAATGTAATTCATAGTTCTTGGGATTCAGAGCTTGCTTCTCGTATTTTGCACGAATGCTTCTGGAATTCAAGATGTCAAATAATCGATCAAAGATGAGAATAAATTCAATGGTTGCAGTGCATTCTTCGAAATCGGGCACTTTGTTCTCTTTCAAGTACTGAAGCGATTCAGCTACCGACTTACTAAGTACCTGTACAGCAAGTTTTACTTTCATCTTCTGTTTAATATAGTTAATATGTGTCTGGGTTAATTTATTTCCTAGACGAAGGCCTTCTTTATCTTGCAGTTGATGGAGTTGCTCGATGAAACTCCACTCAATACGTTCTCCTTTTGAATTCAACAAAACCTTTCCGTCCCCTAGAGTGTTTCGGACCAGCTTTATCATGTGGCTAGGGTCTAAAAAGAAACTTATAGTTTCCTTTGTTGTAGGGTGTGGAAACGAAGAAATGGGATTCTTTGGAGTAATATTACATCCCAAACTGTTTGCCATGGCAATATTACAGGCGGTACCGTCTGATGTTAAACTAGCCACTTCAATACTAGCATCATGTAGTAGGTTTAGACACTGCTTAACTAGTCCGCTTAGCTGTTCCCCAGAAACGCCAGAAACAAAAAAATGGCCTAAAGGAATTTTCCAACAGTCATTTATAAAAACTAGATGAAACACTAACGCTTCCGTTGCTAATGGTGCCGAATCATCATCACATGTAACACTGTTACCGGCATTTATTGTTCCGTGGAATCGTTTGCCATCCCACTCTAAATGTTTTCTGATTGCCATGCAATCAAGCATCAGAGAACAAATAGGGCGTTTCTCTGAGTTTTCTGAATGTTCTTTAAGAGCTCTAAATACCTCTTGAGAAAATCCCGGCTCTGCGTTGACACTGGAATACCATCGTCTCAAGGTTCTGGGGTGGGGAAGAGCTGAATTAAAGGTTTTGCGCACAAAAGTATACGCTTTTGGGGATAAAAAATGTAGCGTAATTGCGAACGATTTCAGCCTTTCATTGTATGACTTTTTTAAAGCCGGATTTTGTATTTTGTCAATAGCCCTTCTAATGAGGCAGTCCGAGGTCTTTGAAATGGAAGTTAACAAACTGCAGGACTCCTCTCCAATATTCATTTTCTTCCTTAATGAATCGATAACATTTTCCATGTTTGCAACTTTTTTTTTAAGTCGCCTTTTCTTTTGTTGTAACGTCTTTATTTTAGTGTTACGTTTTTTTAAGGTTGTCTTGGCTTTGTTGAGTTCCGCTTTTAGCTTTTCTTTAGTTGGTGACTTAAAACATGACGGGTCAGCGAGCACATTCTTTGCTCGCTGTGACGGGGTGCCTCCTTCGTTCGTCACTTCAGAATCGTCAAGAAGTATTTTTCTTTTCAGACTTCGTCGTTCTTTCACATTAGAAAATGCAGGAAATATTACAGGTACTGCATCTTTTCTTATTCTTACTCGTTGCAATGATCTGTCTTTGTCCTCCTCCCTGAAATGAACTGAGCACAATTTGCTGTGTTTCGTTGGAGTCCAGTTTTCTCTTTTCACTGCAATGATCCATTTTCGACGTAGTTCTTGATCAGTAGGAAAGCTGAAAACCATTAACTAATTAATTTTCTTCCCTGAAAGTCAATGGTTTTCAGAATTTAAAAAATATCCCCGTTGCAGCTAACCTGCATATACGCAAGAATTTCCAACTCGTTTTAATGTCATAAAATAAATGAAGCCACATTCCAAATTTTATAACTTCATATGTTGTCTAATAAGGAAATTATACAAAATTATTAATGAGAATGCAGGTTTTCTGCAACGGGGGACACTGGAGTAGGGTATTTTTTAGCACAAAAATTTTTATTCTGACCATATGAAGCCACAAACCAAAATTCATCAATATTTCATTCATCAACAGTCCCTCAAAACAAAAAAGTAACATGGTCCTGGGCTTAGGTCCCGCCATGAGACCTACGGTAATAGCTACTTCCCTAAGAGAAATTCGCTAAAAGTGAGAAACGATAAAATAACATTGGACTATCATACTAAAAGTGAAAGACTGTAGAGGTGTCTGAAGGAAAGGAGTGGGAGGGGAAGAGCTGATAACAAAGGACAGGAAGTAGCTGAACAAGAAGGTATTATTCCCACGATTCCCACCGATGAGTCACATGTGCTCATTTTCGCAAGTTACGTGTGCTGCATCCTCATGAAGAGTGGAAATTATTTCGATTATTTTAAAAACAGACCAAATTAAATACTAAGCTTCAAATATCAACTAAGTTTGCGTGAATACCCACACATACTGTCATCTTTGTTGGTTTAATTCCTTTACTGAGACTAAACTTTTATTAAAATTCCGGTTCGTTATAACAGTACTACACGAAAATACCTTTAATTTGACACCTTGATCATTAAAGTCCATCCATATAAACCCGAATGGATGGAGCACACCGTAACAATAAACGTAACAATTAATTACAACATTTAGGCCTAATAATAATGTTTTTCCTTACCTGTGGTAGGTTAAACCTACAAACCTCCCTCTGTTGTTGCATCCATAGGCCACACAAGTTTCAGGCATAATCACAACACTACAGCTCTGCTGAATGCAATGTCAACAACCGACTAAATGTTGTCTAGCGGAGCCTCGTGACAGCGCTCAAGACGCTCGGTACTAGGGTGACTCATCGCTCCCCCCACTCCGGATTCGGTCAAACCCGCGGAAAATTTGGCTTCACCGCCGCGCACGGATGTCCTACGTGCAGTATCCTAAGTCTATGGTTCATTTGATTCACATAATGGGAGTGCCTACTTGTGAATCAAACTTGCAGTGAAACACAAACTAATGCACATCTACTTGCAGTGTCCAAACGATATCTTTACAAATGGAATTCCTATTTGCAGTACCCATTCAAAGTCTGCATTAATGGTACAACTAGTTCACGTAAATGGAAAGTCTACTTGCAGTATCCAAACCAATGATAGGCCTATATTTGGTTCACCACATAAATGGAATAGCTATTTGGAGTATTTTAAGTCAATGGTGCATCAGCCTAATATCAGGGACCCTAATTATTGGTTATTCATTTTGTAGTAAATTATTCTCAATTATATTAATCCGATTGTTCTTCCATTTTTCTCTGTACGGTATTTGTAATGTGCTATTTTAGATGATTCTATGACTAACATATGTTGTGACTCTTGTTTACTTTTTTATTGTTAATTCGCAAATAATGCCATGCCGCCCAATTAACCCGTAAGGCCCATGTTAAATTTCTAAAAGTTTAGATTCATGCAGGGAAAAGCCCTGTGGTCCGATTTGTACCATTTCAGATTTATACCTTCCGATGGTTGAATACTATGACTGTGCTAAATTTTGTGCAGATCGCTTCAGCCGTTCAGGAGGAGTATTTGTAAAACAAAAGCAGGAGTGTAGTATCAAGAGCTTCGTTTCGCTCCACTCAACTATGCAGTACCCTTTAACTATTCCAAGATCTAGATCCATACCATAAAGTGGAGTAATACATTTATCTAGCCTACCTCAATCAGGTTGCAATTATAAAAATACCCCTGCCGCAGCAAACCTGTATAAACAGGCAAACTGCAACAGTTTATTTATTCTCCATAAGAATAATATAGGAATTTTAAGATTACAGTATTTTGTAATTTTCTCTGTATTCATTTTGGCACATGATAACACAAACTAAATTATTTCTTTTTTTAAGCTCTACAAAACTGCTTCGAAAGAAATTGCAAAATTTTATTTTTTAGGGTCAAAAATGGGAAAAACTAACTTTTACCCCATAAACCCCCCTCCCCCCCCTCCCACCGTTCACATGGTCTGATCATGCTGCTTTGTGAATTTGTTCGAATAAATGTAGGCTTATACCAAATTTCATTAAAATCGGATCATTTTTGCTAGAGTTATCGCTCTAACAGACACATATGTAAATAATATGAATTTGAACGAATGGAGTTTTTGGCGTCTGGGAACCTCAAAACGAAAAAGTAAATCGGTCCCGAGTCCTGGTCTTACCATGAGACCTATGATAATAGCTGATTCTCAAAATGGAAAATTTCATAAGCCTATTTAAATTCCATTTTCATAAACGGTTTTGTATGTCTCTTGTTTGCAATCTGACTGTGGATGAACAGTCAACTGAAGGATAAGCTGTTGGATTACAATTCGTATTTAAACCCTTAAATAAAGTTTGCCAGCAACCCAGGGTCTTTGAGTAAACTGTAGAAATAATTGGAACACAAGGAGGGCGAAGCCCTTAAAGAAGTTACCTTATTATTACCATTCGCAAGTGTGCTTGATCATAAGCTTTAAAATGACACCTGAATTTTGGAAACTGGTTAAGTAGGACGGCTGAATAAGGGATGTAACAGAGGGAACCCTTATTGTATTGAGTAGATTGTAATTGAACTATCATATCATCCTTATAACAATATAACATTCTCTTTTTAGGATTGATTATGAAGAGAGGAACAGAAAGAAAGAAGTGAAGGAGATTAAGATGCTGGAAGCTTTATCCAAAGTCAAGATAATCGGAAGTTCGTAGCGAGCTTTCTACTAACAACGACTCTCGTCACTTGTTTCCCACCAAAGTTTAGTAATTAATCCATTCCAGTTTAGTACGTTAGATGAACCGAAGCCAGAGATCAACACAATATGTTTAGTGTGTTGACTTGAAAGATCAAATATCAATTTGTAAATTTGGTTTACTATGGTTATTGTTTTACTCCTTTATTTTTATATGAAAATTTGAAATTTCGATATAACTTTGTTATTTAGTGCCAAATTCAAATTGTTTTGAGAATCAGAGCTTATTAATACCATTTATTTATTGTGTTATGTATAAATGTACATTAGTTTGAATAAATAATGTATTTTATTGTTTTCTATTATGTTTGTATATATTTATGGTTTATGAGCAGGGTGGAATTTTGCCAAACTATTGGTAACTATTTACTTTGTTATATTTGCTATTATTATGTTTTAGAGAATTTACATAGTAAATATATATTTTTTAATTGTAGGAAGTAAAAATTAAATTTGATTGTCTTGTTTTTACATTACTAAAATATTTTCTGCTTAAGCTATAAAACGATGGTTTAACATCCACACAATTAAACATGGCCAATTAATTGATATAAAGAGATATAAATTAGAAAATAATATATGTTCTTAGAAATCGTACAAAATTTACAATTAGGAAATAATGATTATATATGTCAAGTTTTAGCTTAGTTTTTCTAAACTCAATTCCTGCTTCTTTATGTTGTAATCAATTTTTAATTGTAGGTTATTTAGTACCTAGATTATAATAGATTTTTATTTTGAATGAAGCTTTAGTGAAAGATAAACCATGTTTTATCACTGAACTGTTGAATGAATTATACAATTTGTACTTAGTACTATTCTAAACTTTGTCAATCAAAATAGATGCGATTGTTATATTATAAATTTTGTGATAACTCAACCGTAGGTGAACGAGAATTGTAAGGGATCTAGTCACTTTGGTGATATTGTAATTAATAGTTCACTTATGTACATTTGCAGTACACAAACTAGAGCCTGTTTTTTTCATTCTAGTGCATGAATTTTAGTCCTTAAGTGTTTCAGTTAGATGTTTTATTCGTTACCCTCCAACCATTTATAACTGTATTTTTATAGTATATTTGTTGGATAACATATTAGTTCCTAACAAATCTAATCGAACCACACTTTTGTCAAAAAAATCTGAACCCCAGCTAATCTGAAATACCTGTGAAAAAAGGTTACTGCACTTAATCTGAAAACAGCAATGTGTTCTGAAACACTAACAGGGTGTCCAGGCTGGGAAACCAGGAATCAGGGAATTTTACATACATTTTTATGACCTGGAAAAAGTTTGTGAATCGTACGTGAATTTAGGAACTGAAACATTTAAATTAATTGCCAATAGTCTTTGGCTGAGCTTCCATTCATTAACCATGTTCTGTTCCCTTGAACCATGATTGGCGCGATCTTGTAGTCTTGTTAGTGACTAAGGCCGACATGTTCCTTAGATACAGCTGTTAATTAATAGCCTGATAATAAGTATCTAAAAATATCATCTAAAAGTCTTTTAGAACTTATTACATTTTCTAGACAACTTAATTAGAAAACGTTAAACTAATTATGTTATTATGTTTTTACTAATTTTTGACTACCAATTTGCAATTTGACACTATTTAGTGAACATTTAATTTATTCATAAGCCAGTGGTATAGTTACAGAATTGAACCTTGCCAGCAATGCCAATGATTCAAATGTTCCCTGTAGCTGCTGTAGTCCAATTATGGGTTCACTCCTCACATAAGTCAATACATTGCATATTGCATACTTAACGACTATTGATTAATTGGTTATTTCAATAATTCTTTTCCTATTGCTTGTAAAAATTAAAATTCGTTGGTTGGAGGGAAAGTCTTTTCTCTTAGGCGCTTCCTACTCTTTACCTTCCCAATACAGTACGCTTTTGTAGATGTCTTACCTTTGCACATGGTCACTACGTTCTTCCAAACCCAAAGGTTGAGAGATTATTTTATCTAGAATTTTTAAGCTCTTACGCCATGTACTTTTAGGAAATAATGCAGTTTATGTCTAGCCTGATGTGAAGATGTGTTAGTTATATCGTACTACGGTCAAACTGTAAAATAGTTATCATTAATTTATTGAAAACTTTTAGTCAAATACATTTTTATCAGTCAATGCATTGTACTCCTTTTTAAATTTAAGGTAAAAAAAGTACTTAGTTGATACTTTCCAATAAGTCCAAGATATTTTTTATTTTTATGTTTTTGTTTATCGTTTATGGTCTCAAAAGAATGTTCCAGTATAAATGATTTTTAATTACTTGTATAGCTAAACTGATATTGAACATCAAGCATAATCCTAGCTAAAACTATGTTAGTGTTCTCCTAGTCAAAATTCTGCATAAAAGAATATCAATAACCTTGTCTAACACAGGAATCGCTAGGGGCTCAAAAGCGCATTCTAAAAATCCGCTACGATGACATCATAGTTTAGTTCAAAATTCCTCCGTTAACAGCGTTGTAGTAGAGCTGTCAGATCTCCTCTTGAGGGAACACCATTACCGCAACGATACGGAATTCAGTCATCGGCCTCGGTGGTGTAATGGATAGCGTACCGAGTTGATAAACCGAAGATGCTGGGTTCGAATCCCGCTAGCAGCACAAACTTTTTGTCAACAATTTTTTTTCATATCAGCAAGTGTGGTTGGTTTGGTTAGGTTATGACAGTTTAATTTTATAATTAAAAAATTATAAAATTGAATTTTAGGCATTTATAATTTTATTTTATCAACAAAACTATTTTTTAGATTAGTAAACCTTCATTAGATTTTTTCATTATCAGCACGTTTGGTTAGGTTATGACAGTTTAATTTAATAATTGAAACATTTAATTTTATAATTAACTAGGCCTAATAGTGAACAGTGAAGTAAAAATTACGCGCTGTGCTCTCTACTACAACGCTGTTCACGGAGGAATTTTGAACTAAGCTATGATGTCATCGTTGCGGATTTTTAGAATGCGCTTTTGAGCCCGTAGCGATTCCTGTCTAACACAAGCCTGTTGCCATGGTAATTATAGTAACAAACAGACTCTCAATTAATTACAGCTTACAATAAAAGAATGAACGAATTAACAAATAAATGAAAATAAATCATCCAACACCTTGAAATAAAACATTTTCAAATTACGGTGCTTCATAAAAAACTATAGTTCGGCCGCTTAGAAAACGACCTGCGCGCTAATGCTAAACCAATGCTGGAGGAGGTCGCTTTCTAAGCGGCTGACCTATAGTCATAATTTTTCTATTTTATGGTTAGTAAAAATTTTACCAACATATTTATAGTTATTGGAATCTTAGTTGAATGCCATAATGTTTTCTGTGATTAGAAACCTGTGTTGATCAGTTTGGAAATTGAACTAAATTGTTAAAAAAGACTGGAGGGATTGATTTTGGAGGGAGCGTTTCATAAACTCCAAATTTCACAAACTCCAACGCTTAAAATATTAAACGAACAGCGCGTTTCATAATGTCCAAATTTCATAAGCTCCAAAACTATAACATTCAAATAATCACTGTTTCACAATGTCCAAGTTTCACAAACTCCAACGTTTAGATACCAAATAAACAGAGCGGTTCATAACCTCCAAATTTCATAAGCTCCAAATCTATAACATTCAAATAATCACTGTTTCACAATGTCCAAGTTTCACAAACTCCAACGTTTAGATACCAAATAAACAGAGCGGTTCATAATGTCCAAATTTCAAAACCTCCAACAGTACAGTCTGGGCCAGAAGTCTCTCTAGTGGTTGCCACAGTCGGATAGCAGGCACCGTTCGCCAGCGCTCAACTACTGATTATATGTGCATTTTAATGATTGAAGAACACTCAGCTGTGTGACTCAAATATGTGTTAGCACACAATGTTTAAATCAAATTTACATTTTAGCAAATTTCCCCTATAGGGAATAAGCTATTACCGTAGTACTCATGGTAAGACCTGGTCCCGGGACCGATTTACTTTTTCGTTTTGAGGTCCGTAGACACCAAAAACACCATCAGTTCAAATTCATATATATATATATATATATATATGTGTGTGTGTGTGTCCTTTAGCGTGATAACTCGAGCAAAAATCATCCGATTTTGAAGAAATTTGGTACGAACGTGTAAACCTACGTTTATTCGAACGAGTTCGCGAACCAGCATGATCGGACTATGGGAACTCTTAAGAATATATACTTATACTCTTAAGAAAGCAATTACGGAGCAACAATGATGCTTTGTGTTGCGCCGCTACAACAGTAGAACGTGTAGCGCCTACATACCGAACCACGGCATTCTCTGCAGCGACTTCTGGCAGAGACTGTACCGTTGGAGCTTATGAAACTTGGAGGTTATGAACCGCTCTGTTTATTTGATATTTAAACTTTGGAGTTTGTGAAATTTGGACATTGTGAATCGGTGATTATTTGAAAGTTATGGTTTTGGAGTTTATGAAATTTGGAGGTTATGAACCGCTCTGTTTATTTGATATTTAAACGTTGGAGTTTGTGAAATTTGGACATTGTGAATCGGTGATTATTTGAAAGTTATGGTTTTAGAGTTTATGAAATTTGGAGGTTATGAAACGCACTGTTTATTTAATATATTAACGTTGGAGTTTGTGAAATTTGGACATTGTGAAACGGTGCTTATTTGAAAGTTATAGTTTTGGAGTTTATGACATTTGGAGGTTATGAAACGCACTGTTTATTTAATATTTTAGGCGTTGGAGTTTGTGAAATTTGGACATTATGAACCTCACCCATTTTGGATAGACTCTTTGGTCGACATGAAGCTCTAATTGATCAAATATGTATACTGTATTTATTATTTACACTGATAGATGATTTAAATCTACAGTTTACTATGCTGAGACAACCTTTCTTAGGATAATATTTAAAGATTATGTTCAATTAAATTGATTCTTCAATGTATTCATTTTAGAGCTACGGACTAATTAAAGAAAATATTTAAAGGCGTAATTTATTCTTGTATAAAATGAAACTTGAGAGGGTGTTTGAGATTCGTTTTCCTAGCAATTATTCTCTTTATTTACTAAAAATTGTGTTAAACCTTATTCGACTTACATTTTTTTACTACAGTAGTACCAAAAGTGGCATTTCCAGTAGGCTACACATATTTAATCATTAATATGTTTAAGATTAATATTGTTTATTATATATATATTTTTTTTTTATGTTACCTGTAACTGCATGGTGAGCATTTTGCCTGCTGTTACAAAAATGTCTATACAAAACAATAAAGGTAATTTAATTAGAATCTTTTTTATGAATCCCCCAAAAAGCATTTAAAAAGTTCTCTTAAGATCATTTATGACGCTTCAGTGTAAAGCTTTGGATGTATTTGTATCTGTATGCTACGCACAATTTTTATTTCAGCTGCGGGATTTCGATACGGGTGAAATGAGAGCATTCTATTGGCTGTCATTGTGTGACGTCACTCTCTTCTCTTGAGGGAACACCATTACCCCAACGATACGAAGTGATGCCATCGGTGTTCGTGGTGTAGTGGATAGAGTACTCGGTTGATAGTCAAGAAGTATCCAGATCAAAACCCATCGGGGACACAAACTTTTTGTCAAAGATTTTGCTTAGAATGCGGTTACTTCCTAACGGTAAATCTTTTGTTAGAATTTGAGGCATTTATAATTTTATTTTATGAACAGAACTATTTTTTCGATTAGTAAACCTTCATTCAATTTTTTTCATTGTCAGCAAGTTTGGTTAGGTTATTACAGTTTAATTTTATAAAAAAAATATAAAATTAATAACTTTTCATTTTTTTAACACTCATTTCGTCTGTACCTAAAAACCGCAGCTGAAATAAAAATTATGCGTAAACCAACAAAAAGCGAATATGAATGATAAGGTAAAGTTGACAAGTAAAACAGTTGACATACACAATTTTGCCAAAAATATAATATATTTAAGTTAATTATTCTATTCTGTCAACAAAAAAATGAGGATTAGACCTGTTATCATGGTCAATTGAAAGGCTAACATTCAATACGCTAATGTTAGGAGGAAATTACAGGGGTCTATTATCGAGCCATAAAAGTACTTAACTGAACCTAGTATATCTATCTATAGAGGGTGTTTTTTTTTTTAAACACTTGCTTCTTTATTTATGTAAAAACTGCAATAGATAGAAATATGCAGTTTGCGGGAATCGTCTATTGACGTAGGGGCCACAATTGTTGTGAATTTAATGTGAAGTTCCCATTCACCCAATTTCTCCCCCTACCCTTAAATTAAAATTTTTATATTGCAAGCTACCCCTTTTGACATATTAAATGTGAGGGCATGAAAAAGAAAAAGAATGTCCCAAACTAGAGATCTCTAAGCCAATCCTAACAAAGTTATGACAGTTTAAAATTTTAATTTTTCGTCCGTTTTTTTTTTTAAACACGTTTTTTAAAACGGTAAGAGCTAGCAAAGATTTAAAAGAATTCTCATGGTTAGGAATTAAATTTTCTACAAAATACTCTTCAGCGTTTTCCGAAAATAACACTTGCCTTCAAAAATCGCCCTACTTCTAAAATTTGTAAAATTCCTCAGATTTCTTTACGGTTTTTTTATGGAACAAGCATGCCAGCTAGTCAAACCTTTAAAAAATGCTTGTTCAATAAAAAAACCTTAAAAAATCTGAGAGCTAAAGTGTGCTCTTAAAATATCAGAGCTTGCGATGAAGAAGAATTTGCCCATTGTCAGTTGTTAGAGCTTTGTTATAAATATTATAGTGCACCTTCCTATATTTATTGAAACTGTATTTTATTGATTTTGTTAAAAATTCTTTGAAAATAATGAGAACATAATAATTTTAGTGAAAGTATTTACCTTTAATGGTGTATATTCAGACCATGCCTAAGGGGGAAGTAATGTTAGTAACATATGCACACACGCATCCCGCGTTCGGTTGTTGGACAGTGTAGTCAGAGGTCACTCCTTTTGGTTATTTTCGAGCCGGTGTTTATTTTGATTCTGTACATTCCATATAAAATGTTTACTTTTAATAATCAACCGTATATTTATGCTTTTAGGTTTTATGGGATATATGAAAAAAAAAAGAATTATTATTGACCTATAAATAATTGACTATCCTCGATAATTACACAATACAGATTTGAATGTATGAATGTAGGTAGGTGGTAAAAAAACCATGTTTTATACAGGGTTTTTTTAACGCAACCCAATTGGACTTTTTAACGAAAACACCTGGGCCTTGTAATACCTTACATTACTGCAGGCTTAAATTACTGATGAGGATGTATAAATAACCACACAACTCATAGAATTATTTCTATGTTCTTAGAACGTTGTGGAAGGTGGAAGAAGAATACAATGTATAAACAACAAAGGTTTAATCAAGCACTGCTTCTTTATCAAATGCCTTTCCCTTTGTAAGCCTACGTTTATTTGAATGAGTTCGCAAACCAGCATGATCGGATCTCGGGAACGGGAGTTTATGGGGTAAAAAAATTTTTTTTTCAATTTTTTGACCACAAAAACATAACATGTTAATGTATCCTTTTTGTAAAGCTTAAAAAATAAATAATTCAGGGTATTGAAGCGTTGTTGACCTAACAGCTTTAAACAGCTTTTGTAGAGAAGTGTAAACTATAAATTCCCATGTAATAATTTATTATGGAGAATAGGGGAGCGAGCTGGCGTAGTGGTTAGAGCGTGGGACTTCAGTCCCTGAGGTTCGATCCCCACCAAGTCACCAATGGATTTGATCTAATTGATAATGCCGCAACCCCTAGGTCTAGCCTGAAATAATGTGAAAAACAATCCCAGGCTCGTGCCTAGCGTGCTAGAAAAATTATGGAGGATAAATAAACTGTTGTAGTTTTCTTCTTTATGGATATATTATAGTAAAATTTGGCAAATTTTATTATTAATATTAACATTTCAATAAAAACATAACTCATTACCTTCCCATTAGCAGCAAACCTAATTACTTATTAAAATTAATGTTGTTTGAAAAGGAAATAAATCTGACATTTTTAAGGGAATATTTTAGTGGAAATCTAGCCAGACAAATGGAAATTCACTTAGTATGCAGGTTTTCTGCGGCGTGGGTATTTAGTGTCTTCTTTTTTGTGAGATGGTTGCTATCTCCCTTTTTTACAGGATTACTTTTATTATGTACTTAAGTCAAAGTCCTGGCCTAGAGTCTTTCCATGAAAAAAACTAACCCTATAGGCCTATTATCTCACTGTTTCCATACAGTGCGTTACTATCCATCTTTCAACAATGAAATTATTGACGACGTTTGTCTGCTTGACTTCAAAAACCCCACCTTCCAATCTTTATCAATTTTCAGTTAGGCTATGCAATATGTTTATTACATACTAGTGGCTTGTAAGGACATAGGTGCCTAAAAAGCTCAAATGTAAAAAAAAATATTGTAATATACAAACTCAGAACCAAATAACTATGTGTCAGGATTGATATCCCAGTACAACATATATTTTGTGTGAAAAACAGTTTGTTGTTTGTCTTTGTTTGCTTTTGATGTTATTTTCAATAAATAATTTTAGTTACTCCAAAGGGTTAAACCTGCTAAAGGCAGCAAACATGTTTGTGGATAAATATTGGTTTACATAGGCAGATTTGGTCAGTAGTTCATGATGAAAATGAAATAATTAAAATTGTCTTCGTCAAATATAAAAAGGCAAGATGACGAAGCACACATTTATCTGTAAACTCTGTACGTTATGTGCCAATAAAAATTAATATGATTATGATTATAATTGTATTGAGTAAACTTTTTAGCAGCTATCCTTAAATTATTTTAGTGCGATTAAAATTAGTACATGAAAATGCCTCGCTTGTGTTACCGGGCACGCAAAATGTTTTACTTCGCCTGGAAAAGCACTCATCGGCTTTGCGCTCCATGGTACTGTTATACTTTTGACTACAATTTAAAATATGCGTAAATAAAACTACAACACCGTATTTATAAATCTGTTATTTATTTGATTTTGTACTAGGAGCTTGAAGTTGTGTATTTTATAAATTATTTTATTTATGAAATGCTTGATAATACTGTATTGAAAAAAAAACACCTAAAAAAGTGTAATGGAACGATTTACTTTTGCATAGAGCTATTCTATAAAAAAAAACCATTATTTGTTTAATTTTATCAAATCCATAGCAACGAATTTACTTCACTTCAACTTTTAGGATTTGATGTAAACTTGTGTATTTGTTGAGCTGTACAGCTAATTCAGTTTAATAAAAGAAGCTTCAAAAGATTCAAACAGGAAACCTTGATTAGCGAGAAGTATCAAGGGTTACACCACTTTCTAGAAGAAGACTCTTCTACAAGACTCTTAGAAGACTTAGAAGACTCTTAGAAGACTCTACAACTGTTAGGACCACCAATGGAAACAATTCTCAATTTCATTTTGTGAGTGACCAGTTTAACAGCAATTTAATGATTGTTAATGATTTTAGTATTTAATGGTAGTTGTAATATAATTTAACAATGTTTAGAAATGGGGTAAAGGCAAACTAGGTTCACTTCATCGATATACTAATCAGTAAGAAAACAATCTGATAACTCGAATGATGAGTCTATATGTTGAAATTGTCTTCTCTAATGATACAGATTAACAGTAAGTAATCTTTAAACGTTGTGTTTTATTTCATGAGTAAATCTAAAAGAAATGTGTCTAATTAAGAATCGTAACTCAGTTATATCCGCCACTTTTATATCGAGAAAATGTACTGCTTCAAACTACATTTTCTCAATGTAAATCATAATGAGTGTTACTTTTTAAAGTTGATCCTGAAGCATTTTTTCTTTGCTAGTTACAGTACTTAAAAACTTTGACTAACTTTGAAATGTGATTGTTGAAAAAGACCAATAGATCCTAAAGAATGGTTTACCATGGACTAATAGCTCGTTCAAGGGCCATTAATTATATTTAGCTGAAATGATTAAAATTTTCCATTATTCTATACGTCATTTTGGCTATCATGAAAAAGTAGAGATTATATGATTGACGGGGTCTTGGGGGTTGGAATGTTATGTTGTATCTTGCCAATTATCTCATGGGTAGAATAATATACTATAATTGTTTGGTAAAACTCAATTTTTATTAATGAGAGACTTTCTATTTGGGTTGTAATATTAACAATAACACAATAATCTTTTTCCAGCGACCATCCATTTGTCACGGGGGCTGCTGTGGTAGGCGCTGTCACTGGCCTGTGGTATGTCATCTGGGGGAGACGCCCCCCTCCCCCACCAGTTGAACCACCTGTCCAAGAGGACAATATTGACCGACGTAAGTACAATGGTGTAAAAAGTATGTTTGTTAAACCTTATGTACCAGGTTTACTTATTTACTTTATTTAGATATCTAAATATCCATGAACCGTTGATAATTTATATAAAATGAGAGTTTAAAATTTTGCTCAAGTAGTAGTCAAGGGTACCTTAGTTACTTAACTTATATTTTAAATTGTTTTGATTAAAGATTAAGATAGAAAAGTTTAGCAAGTCAACAAACCTGATGCCGGATTGTTGTTGGTTGGCGGTCAACTAAACATTCTAGATCCCAATAATTGATCATCCTAAGTAAAGCAAGGAGCATCCCTTAACGTAATGGTTTTCAATCCGAAACGTATCTTGGTCAAAATGCTAGACCTTCCATACTTCATGCATGTTATGTAGTTATTAAGGTGATTTTAAAATATTTTAATAAAAGTATTAGACGGAATTGTTGTTTATGGTACAGATGCAACAAAGAAAAAATTTACCTTATTGGTATGAAAGTGACTAATGTTACAAATTGAAGGATAGTTAAGAACAATGAATACTCAAATACATTGTTAATCCAAAACAATTACACAAATTTATAAACATGATTACTCAAGTTACAAACACAAAGAAATTAAAATTTTAAAATTATCATAAACAAAGAATTGCATTTATTTAACTATTTTTTTTAACGATATATTTCTGTTTTTCAGAGGTAGATGTTCGATTTAGGATGCCCCCCCTCAGAAGAGTCGGAAATCGTGTTTGAGCGAAGTTTCATCTTATTTGGGTGAAAATATGTTGACTTGGCCTATTTATGTTCTACAAACATTTGTGTTTAAATAAAGGTTTCTTTAAAAACATGATCTTTAATATGATAAAGTAATGATCAAAATGTTAATAGACACGTCATTCATTATGTGACATCATTGAAATTAAAGATTAATTGACTTTTAATTAAAAAACTTCACTTATATGTCCTTATGAATACACGAAATAATATATGCGCTATACTATAAAAACCCTACACCAAAAGCTATTATTGGACTGATTCAAAGAAGTTTTACCAATCCTAAATTACTTTTGTTTAAGCGTAAGCAATATTGTGGAGGGAGGAATATTTTATAAAAACTGTCCAAAACCTTCCTCGAGGGTGTGAATCTCCCCTACGTAACATCTGCAGTATCTGCATCCCCAATTTTCTCTTTTAGACGAAAAAACCTTGATCACATATTCTTAATTAGTAGTGGTGAACTACGGGTATGAAGCCACTTGGGGCGTTTTTCCCCATAAGAATAACATGGGATCATTTTTTGGCCACCAAAACCAAAAATCCTGATCTTTGCCTATACATCCCCTATACTACTGTACAACTCCATTAACATTACAAATCAACATATATTTTCAAATCATGTGAGATTTGCAGCAGAACTCAAGCGCGCTCCCGGCCCGCGCTTCTCATCTCCAGCGGTGTATAGTAGTATAGTTTGTCGCTGCCGTTTTTTGAGGAGCGGGGTTTTTGGGCTAACTCCCCGCCCATGCCTAATTGCTAGTACATCTACCATTCCCCTTTCTAGTTGTTCTATTGACTGATTTGATATGTTGTAGTCTATATTTCTGTCTTATCTTATCTATATATATTAGTCGTATGAGTTGTTTAACATTTTCATTTCTTTTTCTTTTGGGATATACCTCTTAAACTTGCTCTTGGGCCTATACAAGCCTATATAAATGTACAACTCCATATCTATATTGTATAATTTCAATTCAATCTCCAACACCCATTCACATGTATATTCTCAAAATCGAGCGAGGTTTGTACGCGAACTCGGCTCATGGCGCGCTCCCTTGGACATCCTTAGTGGAAATCCATGAATTCCGGCTAAATAAATAAATTTTCTTCTCGAAATCCCAACTCGGAACTATAACATTCGTCCGATAAGCATAGATAAAAAATTAAATATAGACTGTCAGCCGTGCTGCAGTTACCATGGTTACCATAGGTTCTGGTGCCTACCGCTGGGAGTGCCTTGTAGTTAGGTAGCGCGTACGCTGTAACTACACGGCGCTCTAAGCGGTGTGCGCCAGAACCTTTGGTAACCGCAGCACATCTGGTGGTATATATTTTATTCTCCTTTTCATTGGTTTTAGTTATTTGTACCAAAATCCACTTAATATTTCAAATAGTAAAAGCAAAAAAAAAATATTAAACAGGTAAAATGTTTTTGAATTAATACCAGGTGTTATATGGAGAGTATAATTGTAACACCAACCGAGTAGGCCTATCTATGTATGTATAGTTCTTTCAGTGTAAGATAACTATACAGTAAGTTTTTAAATATCATCGGCTATTTTTCTATGGGTTATTTTTAATGACTATAAGAAATTTGCAGCTTTGTCAAACGCAATTTAAGTCCGTAAATGCTACCTGTTACCATAGCGATTGTGTTAGTAACACACTGTGTGCACAGGAAGGAAGACATCTTGTAGAGCGTAGGTGTCTTCCTGTCCATTTTGAAGCAACACAATAATACATAATTCACTTTGACAAATTACGTTTAAACTTTCGATTTCATATTGAAAATCGGTGATTAGCAGCGTTTTCATAATGAACTGATAACATTTTGAGGTTAGCGAACCGAAAAATGTACTAAATGTTTTCCTGTTCCCTATTTGAAGCTACCAAAAAATGATCATTTTGCAGACGATTTAGAGAACCAAAAATGGCTGCTTTCCGGACAGTCTGACGAACATTCATTCTACAGGAGTTTGCTTACGGTATCAAAAAACATATTTGTATTTCTTTAAGTTACAAATTTTATAGTACACTGACAACTACCACCAATAGTAGGATGCAAATAACATTTTTGATTGGTTTGAATCAGGTTATGATTAATCTAGCATGAGTAGCATGTTGAAATAGATAAATTTATTAAAAATGTGAACACCAATTTTAAAGCATACTTTCGTCACCTCGGTAGCTAGAAGCAAGAACATTGTATTAAGGTTATTTTTTATCACTTCTTGATTGATGCGTAATATCTTAGACACACTATCCCCAGGTTACAGTTGTCCCCAGTTTTTTTAATAAAATTCGTCGTAGTTGATGTGAGCCAACGAAAATTTTTGCGGATCTAAAAAACTAACTTCTGTAGAACAAAATGTTTTTTTCTAAGTCAAACTAATAGAACGACTTATTATGAGATATAGTAACTGTTATGACCCATCAACTATGTCAGCAACAAAAATAAGATAGAAAATATCATTTTAGATAATAGCACTTTCTCTGACTAGATCACACAACTACATTCTTCTTTTTAATAAAGAATTTGCGACAGCTGCTCCAGATGGAATGCATATTTCAGTATCTAATAGTCAATAGTAATATACACACCAATTAACTTCAAATGACATGTTGTTTGTTGTTGTTGTGTTAACTTTTAAAAAAAACTAAGCCAGGTGAAAAATAGATGATGGAGTTCTAGTTGAATGTTGGTTTAAAGGTATTTACAGTTTGTTTATAATGAATTTAAACTATTCAATTTACCTACGCATTTCCAAAAGGATATTTTCGAGATGTTTGACTTTGCAGGTATAAACAAATAAAATTAAAACTATTTTAATTTCTCAATTATTTACTAATGTAAATCACTTATTTTGGTAATTTGACAGTTTTATCATTAATTATACTAACTTAGGATGGTTAATAACTAACATTTACTTGTAATAAACCAACTATGTTTAACTAACACCAAAGAAATGTTAGATTGAGAAAAATGCAAATAAAATGGAGATCCTGAAAACTTTGTTATTTGATAATACCACAATGTTTTAGTATTCTTTGGAATCTGCTTTATTATTCTAGAAGCACAGGTCACAACTTATATTGCTAAAGTTTGCAAAATCTATCTTACATCCGATACTGAAATCAGGGACCAATTTTGTTGCTGTCGGTCTTATTAAAATACTTTGATAGCGTTTACATTTATCATAATAACATGCTCTTATATTGAAAATACTATTGATAAAACCAACTTTTCTTGGTAAAATTAATTAACCTATAGGTAATACTGGAAAACATTTTCGGTAAATCTTACGTTGTACTTTTTGTTAATTACAATCCATTGTCATCCAAGAAATGGTATGCAACAAAATCCCCCCAAAAAGCTGTCTTATATTGTATCAGTCACTTTCACAATTCATGCAAGTTCTGATTTATTTGGCAAATTGGAATATTAAACAACCACCCATAAAGTAGTTTTGTCAGTTTTTTTAATCTAGACTTTTGCTGGTAAAATATGTACAATGAAAAATGATTGAAAAATGATGACTAAAATGTAATAATTACGAGTAACAGTTATTGTCTAGTAGGCCTAAAAATTTCTTTATAGACAACTCTTAACATTCATATACACCACTCTAATATTCCTTCATTTAGACTTTCATAACAGGCCTACTATATAAAAATCCTTTCAATAGCTAACAGAACTTTTTCCTATTTATAAAAAAGAAAATAGTGAGCAACACAGATAAAAATCTAACTTTTTCTACTAAGAGGCCAGATTTTCCATTCGGAATTCCAAATATTGTTTTCAAGAACAACTCTAACTGCCACTCTGTTGCTTAGTAGTTTGTAAACCAACAATAGCAGAATCATTTTGAGGATAATAAATACCTCACCAATTTATTTCATAGTTAAAGACTTCAAATGCATTATTTATTCAAGTAATTAATTGTTAGAAAAGTAATCAGGCATAGGAACGCTGTCATGTTTAATGTCTTCATTTTTCTTTACCCTTACATGTTACATGTATAGGCTACTCAGCCTGGCCATTATTAATCCATAGGCCTACACTGATGTTCCCAAGGGATGTGATCAGGTTATCCAACCCGCCTAAAGGCTCAACAAAGTACCTCAAGGCTCGTATATAAATAATGTCCTTCTATCAGAAACTAAAGTTAAATATTGTTCTTTTTCAGAACAAATCGTCATATTATAATTTTAGATGGCTTAATTAGTCAATTAAAATACGTTTACAATGTTACCGCAAAACACAAGTATAACTGCAATAAGCATTTTATACTTATACTAGCTGTACCCGCGGGCTTTGCCCCGTTTAACTTCATACTTGAGCATGGCTCAATCACGTCCTGGTTGAAGTTCGTTCGCTACGCTCACTCACCTTTAGGTTGGAGCTCGTTCGCTGCGATCACACGTCCTGGTTGAAGTTCGTTCGCTACGCTCACTCACCTTTACGGTTGGAGCTCGTTCGCTGCGCTCACTTGCCTTCAGGTTAGCTCGTTCGCTACGCTACCTCGCCTCCGGGTTGAAGTTCGTTCGCTACGCTCACTCACCTTTTGGTTTCAAATTAGCTGTTGTCAAATATTAAAAAAAAATAATAGTGCTGCACTCTGTTGGTAATCCTTGTAACTTTAATGCTATTGAATATCATAGAACAGAACCAACTTGTTTAATTGAAACAGCTGTTATGATTCATTAATTCCATTTAAATATGAGTACTCATTAGGTTAACATGGGAAACTCCAGAGCCACTGGGGCGGAGCCCGAGAGTCCGATCAGAATAAACACCACTTAGTTTTCCTATTTAATGCCTAAAGAATCAGTGTACCAAATTTCAGCCTCCTAGGTAAGTGGGAAGTGGGAGAATTAGTGATGAGTGAGTGAGTCAGTCAGTCAGTCAGTCAGTGAGGGCTTTGCCTTTTATATTTATAGATGCCAACCTCGTACGAAGGACGGATACTCTGCTAGTTGTATAATAAATAAATCATTAAATAAAATATTCAGTCCCTCTGATAAAATGTGTATTTACATTTCAGTCGACGTTGATATTATCCTCATTATTTGAACATTTTGTTTTCTTTGAATGCTTGTTGTTAGAGCGATGCTGATTTTCAAATAAAGAAAGATTTAGTTGATTTATGCATCCCTGACGATTGAATGACGACTGTTATTTAAAACTTATAGGAGTTTCCCAGAACCCTTAGTTCAAGATTGTTTTCACTTACAGTTCAGAGTAAAAAGAAAGAAGCCTTTCTTATATTTCAGTTTATAATTTATTTTAAAATTTATTGCATGCACAATGGTAAAATAAGAAACTTTATACTAATAAACTTTTTTTCTAAATTATAAATTATATTTTGATACACTTACTCTCTGGATTTTAGACTTCAGCGGTCATATCTATCAACACTGGATTTATAATCATAAACAAAAAGAGGATCTTATATGCTTTGTTTTTATAAATATATTTTTCAATACACTATAAACTGAACAATATTTCTTTCATGAATAGCTACGCTATTTTTGCTAATACCAAGTCGCTGACAAACCAATCCATCAGTTTTTTTTTATTCATTTCGAAATTTCTTGTTACAGTTTGTTATTAACTACAATAAACCTAATTTCATCAATAACTCGAATAATATTTCGTTAACGTTTAGTATTTTATACAAAGATATTTTGTACGCCTGTGTCATGGGATACAAATATACAGTTAAATGTTACTTGCCCAGGAAGATAACAATTTTGGCTAAATGTCTTACTCTTCTAAAAGTTATTAAACTTACACTATAAATACGTTTCTACACAATGGGCAACTTGCTATGAGTTGTTTGGAAAGTGCTTAATAAATAATAAATACTTACAAGTAATAAAGTCATGCAAAGTATTCGAGTTCCAGTTGGTGATTAACCATGAATATTAGGTAAAGTTATCCTTAATCATGTCGTATTGAAGAAAATAGCTTTATTTTGTTCTCTAAAGGATTAAAAGAAACACATAAATTCTTACTGTTCTAACTGTTCTTACCTATGTCGATGTGTAAAGAATGATTTATTTTAACGAAGAAATTAATCGCGTATCAAGTTTGGTATGGTAAATGCAATGAATTTAAGCTTTTAGTAAAGACAATAGCATTTATCTGACTGAATGTACATCTGTCAAGACTTCCTTTCAGTAAACCGGAGAGTAACTGGTCGGAAATAGACCAATAATATAACTTTGACAGTTTCGACTCGGTTTAGGAACTTCCCAAAGGCGCTTCCAAACTCCGTAGTGACTCTGAAGTTATAATTACAAACGACAGATTTGCTAGGACTGAATTTTTGCATTAAGGTTTTAAGAGTATTCTTCTTAATAAAATATAAGAATTAATGAATAAACACAGCCTGGTTCTCGATCAGTAACTATTAAAAAAATATTTTCTAGCCACTGGAACTATGAAGATCAAATATCTAATATAAACAAATGTTTAAAGAATCATAATAATGTTTTATCCTTTTAGAGTTTAGGAACGGTTGGACACATTTATAAATCTAAAACTTTCAATAAAAAACCTTAAAAAATCTGAGAGCTAAAGTGTGCTCTTAAAATATCAGAGCTTGCGATGAATGGGTATAAATTAATGTTTAACTATTATTACTTTCTCCCTCTATACCATAGTAGAGAAAGTATTGTTTATATCAAAATTTTCGAGTTTGATTTGTGAGTGGATATATCCATTTTGGGTCCCCCTGGACCAAAAAAGTGGTTTTCAAAGTGATGTCTGTGCGTATGGATGTGTACAGAGCTAGGGACTACAACTGTGGTCCGATTTCGATGAAATTTGGTGTGTAGGTTCTAATCCATGGTATAACCAGGCGTTTATTTCATTTTTTTTATTTTTAATGTTGATTTTCCCCCAAAAAAAAAAAACGGAAAAATTGGATTTTCTAAAAAATGGCCCGAACGATTTTGATAAATATTTAGTATGTTGTAGCCCTTTAAATTCTGAACAAAATGGTGCCACTCCCATTTCTGTAAAAATTACGGTTTAAAAGCTAGATTGTAAATTATGTAATTTTCCCATAAATTAACAAAAAATATAATTTTAGAATAGAAGCTGGTTTTGATTTAACTTAGTACCTATGTTATGGCCCTTAAAATGTTGAAAGTTTTTTCATTTTTTGAAATTTTGATTTTTAATGGGGGTTTTTCCATAAAACCCTATAAATAACGGAAATCGGATTCCCTCAAAAATGGCCCAAACAAATTTTCATAAAAATTTTGTATGTTATAGTCCTTTAAATTCTGAACAAATTGGCACAAATCTCATTTCAGTAAAAAATATGGTTCACAATAACTTCTGATGACTTTAGTGATGTTTAACTATAAAATATCATATTTACCAATTACCATCACCGCTTACCCATGATAAAGGTTGTTGACAAACTTATGGGAGAAAGTATGTGTCAGAATGCTGATACAGTTTATTTCATGCCAAAATCATATGTAATCATAAGACTAATTTACAGATTTTTAAATTATTCTGTAAATAGTTAAAGAAACAATTACAAAGTTTAAATTCATCGAGGGCATATTTTGGATCATTGTGAATGTTTTACAGTTTATTTCAACTCGAACACTAAATAATGCCATGAGGTTCTTTTTGTAGGACCATGTTTACGTGGTAACCAGCCGGCGCGGCGGGTGGAACCCTCTAAAATTTCATTAGTTAGTGTTGTCTTTATCAATTACTAGCTGGCCCTACAGACGTTGTCCTGTCCTAATGTGGGTTTATCTCAAATGCTCGTTCATTTTCAAGATGAGCTCATTCGCATGGCTCAATCACGTCCTGGTTGAAGTTGCTTCGCTACGCTCACTCGCCTTTTGGTTGCAAATTAGCTGTTGTCATAAATATAAAAAAAAAAATAGTGCTGCACCCGGTTGGTAAACCTATTAACTTTTTAATGCTATTGAACATCACAGAATCAAATTGTTTACTTGAACCAGCTGTCTCTAACTGTAACCAGTAACTACGTCAGTAACAAAAAATAAGGTACAAAATAGAGTTTTAGCATAAGGGAGTATGTTTTTATCTATGGTTTTAGACACTATAGCGCAATCTGTGACTATGGCTCACACAACTATATAGGTACTTTTTTAGTAAAAAATTGGCGACAGCTGATCCATAGATGTGATGATGTATTCCAATAGTCAATGTGGTTTGTACCTATTTAGTTTGCAATGGCAGCGTCGGCAGCTCCAACATTGAGCCTTTTGGTTGGAAACATTGTTTCAGATTCAGCCAAAAGCCAACACATGCGTTTTTATATTGATTGAAATGCTGATGAATTTACGTTTACGAGAACACGTACCCAATATTGCGCATACACGTACCCAATATTGCGTATACGTATGTGTATACTCAATGAGTAGTTATCAGCGCTCAGAATCAATGTGTTAAAACTTTGTATCTGTACATTTTTATTTTAAGTATTTCCTATCGGAATGAACTATTTGGATATTTTACCGCACGTAGAATTACCTAGAAATGAAAATAAGAGTCCCATCGATGTGCCACTTCCATATCCACAATAATTATTGTTACTGTATCATTGTTGTCATTGTTGCTTTTCTGCTAAAAATTATTTTACTTATAGTATGATGTGAAGTGTCATGTTGCAGAGAAGCCCGTAGCCCGTGTCCTGTGTGTAGCTTTTGTTTCCCGCCAGTGTACTACGAGAAGCCCGCGCAAAACTTAACCTCTTTCTCTTTTCTTTAAGTTTCTTTATTTTATAAGAAGTAAGAAGTGTGTTTTATAACGTCTGTCTGTCTATCTGTCTATGTTCGCAAAATCATATATTCATTTCGTAATAGGCTTAATTCATTCTTGATCTTGAATCTTGATTGGCCCCATAGTTACTTGTATTTAGTTTATTGTATTGTAATCGTTCTTGTTTTTAGACGATATAACAGTTTTAGCATAGGCCTAGTTAAACTTGAAACAAAATACTTTAATTCCTTATCTTAATATTCATGTTTTAATTAATACTTGACAAGCTAGTTTTTAAGCATATAAATTAAGCTAAAAACGCTAAATAGGGAGGCCTAAATAGAAAAATGTCGAAGAAACATGGAGTGAAGGATTATGAAGCTGAAAAAGGTAAGTCACTGACTTTGGGTAGGCCTAGGCCTACTGTATGAAAATGATGAGGCCGTGAGCTAAAAAGTTAATTGTGCTTGTGGGTACAGCTTCTTAACTGGGCTACGCTAAAGGCTAAAATCGATTGAAAATATCGATTAATAATCAATATTTTAACTCTATCAATTTAATTATAAAATGAAACTCTTACCCTAACCTAACAAACCAAACTTGTTGATAATGAACAAATCTAATGAAGGTTTACTAATCGTATCGATCGTTCCAATCAATATTAGTGTAGCCCAGTTAAGAAACTGTACCTGTGCTTTTTTTAGTAGGAGTAGACTGTGTTTCAAAAATAGGACTACTGACACTGTAATTTAGATAAATTGATGAGGTGGTTGTTTAAAGTTGGCCTGTTGATGTATGTCCTGAGGCTCTGAAACTGTTGTCAAAACTAGAATGGTACTAAAGTACGGTAATTACCGATCACAGCTAGGCAATTTATTTAAATCCATGCATTACTTTTTAAAACCAGTAAAAAGGTGTTCAAAAAGTTAAGAAATCTGATTGATTTGCTCCGCTTTCCATTTAAAGGACTTGTGATTCTTAACCTAGGCCTACCATTGGTGCAGGGACATTAAAAATCTTTCTACTATAAAGACAAGGGAAGAGGCGACCAGGGGCTTCAGGAATAATTTTTTGGGTAGGCCTGACAAGGATCAAGAAGAGTCTAATTAGGCGATGAGAGGTTTGCAGGGCTTCCCCTCAAAAAGGGGAGGATTTAAAAATTTAAATGTAAAATAATTAGTTTTAATACTTTTCCTTTACTTACATAAAACTTAATTAGGCCTAGGTTCCTTTTTTTATTTATAATTTTGAAATATCTACCAAAATTTTGGGTAGGCCCGGGCCTACTTGACCTGCCCTCTGGAGCCGCCCCTGGTGGTGACATTAAAAAACTAGGTCTACTTTAACCTTGGTGTATCATTCTGATAGGTACCGGTAGCGTGGATTGCCTGTAAGCTTAGTTTCGGTACTGGGCCCATTCTTAATCCTTGTACATGTAAATGATCTTTCTACAAACATAGATATGTAAACTCAGTTGTTTTTGCAGATGATTTTTGCAACCTTGAATGACTCTAATACTCAGAATATTTGATTCACTCTTGGTAAACCTGAACTTGGGCTTTTAGATGTGGAAAAAATGTAAAACTTTTGGGAATCTGGCTTGATTCTTGTCTCACATGGCCATCCCATATTGAATCCCTGCATGTTAGGCTCAATATGGTAATTCATCTTTTAAGAAAACCTATAAATCTCGTTCCTAAGCCATATATGAAAATGTCTTAACAGTTTTAGGCCTACACTTTTTTTAATGCTAGATGTACCTTTTGTGAGACTATCCAAATCAAAAAAGTGGTTTAGCTATGTAGGACTATCAATGTTTAATAAACTTCCTAGAACAGCTCGTAATGTTAGCATGAGTAAGTTAAAGTATGTTTTGCATGGTGGCTTGCTCAAAGGCCCTTTTATAGCCTAGAGCGATTATTTTGAGGAAAATTTTAGTATCATGGTATTTTGACATGACAACTATTTCATCAATGCCTAAAAGTCTGTATTTATTTATAGGCCTATACATGTTGAGCATAACCATATGATCTGTTTGTTTAAACATTTTGACCTTTAACCTTTGGGTCTGACTTAGGGGAGGTACGAATGAGGCATTTAGTTCAAAATTCCTCCGTGAACAGCGCTGTAGTAGAGAGCACTTTGGCAATGAAGGTTTACTAATCGCAAAAATAGTTCTGTTCATAAAATAAAATTATAAATGTCTGAAATTCAATTTTATTATTTTTTAATTATACAATTAAACTATCATAACCTAACCGAACTAACCAAACTTGCTGATAAAGAAATAATATAACAAAAGTTTAGTAATCGGAAAAATAATTCTGTTTATTAAATAAAACTAGAATTTGCTCAATTAAAATTTTGTAATGACTTAATAATAAAATTAAACTGTAATAACCGAACCAAACCAACCAAACTTGCTGATAATAAAAAAATCTTGGACAAAAAGTTAATTCTACCAGCAGGATTCGAACCCGGGACCTACAGTATATCAGCCCGGCACGCTAACCAATAGACCACCGAGGCCGATGGCTACCGACCGTTTTGTTACAGTAATGGCGTTTCCTCAGCTAATAAGAAGCCCACAGCTGTCATCGTAGCCTCTTCCATACCTCCCCTGAGTAAATACCTTAACCTTTGACCTTTACTGTCATTATCTGATAGGTCCAATTCTTTGCATAGCTAGATTTTTATTTTTGATTTATTGTGACTGCCCAAACAAATGTTTTGTCTATTTACTTATGTTTTATCTAATTTTCTTTTCTTGGTTGAACTTGTAACCTCATTGTTGACTTTGTCATATGCATGTACTGGTACCTTGCAAATTACAACAATAAAAATTGTCTGATTCCCCTTGTAGAGTAAGTTACCCTTTACAGTAATGGTAAATACCAAGATTATTCACGGACTAGACTATTGACAGTAAGTATAATAAATAGGCCTAAACATAGAAACAAATATAACTATCCTAACTTATTGATGGTTTCCAAAAAATGTAAAGGTAGGCTACCTAGGCATATTAAAAAAAGTTGATGCCATTGTTTTGTATCTTTTATTAATAGGATTTTACCTATGGTTATTTCAGAAAAACTTAAGAGTTTTCTCCAAGAATTCTACACTGTAGACAACGAAGGAAAAAAGTTGTTCAAGTATGCTACTCAGTTGACTGAACTAGCCCATCGGGATCAGGTAGGCTATTTTGTCATGCATATTAAACCTTAACTTATCTTGAGGAGTTCTTTTGCCTGTGGTAGAGCCTGATGGAACAGGCCCACCTAAAACATTGGGTGGGTCGGGTAGAAGTTCCCTTGGTGAAGAGATTCTCTCTTAGTACTGTATGCCACAAAGATCTGTCTGATCAGACAGTAAGCTTGTTACCCATTCTTACTTAAGTATGTCCTTCAATTGATTTTTAAGGAATTTATTTGGTGGGACGTGATTTTGGTCGTCTGCTCTCCCGACTGGGATGACCTCTGGTTGCACAGTTCTCTGGTACTATTTTTTTCCTTGTACCGGAGCGCATATACAGTAGGCTATTCCTGAGTGCAAAGTGAATGGGATTCTGCGCAATCAAAATCAGTCACCTGCAGGTTACTCAGCTCCGTGACTGGACAAATCAGTCATTGGGGTCAACAACAGATTTGTGTCACTCGGATGCAATACTAGGCTATGTATGGAATCATGCAAGGGATGTGCAAGTGATGTGACTATTAGTCACCCGTGACACGCATTGGCTTTGTTGTTATGTGATGACATAGAAATTATTACTCTGGATGGCATCCAGACGACAGGGGATTACAGTGGCAACAATAAGGTATTTAACATCTAGAATAATATCGTTAAGTAATCCGGAAGGCAACACCTCAAAAAATGATGACATAGAAAATTGTGTTTGGCTGCTTAGATGTCAAGCGAAGTTGCTGCAGCTGGTGCAAGTAATAGTTTCATGTCTACTGGAGCCAGTTATGATTGTTGACTCACTTTTGAAGTCAACAAACTCATTCACTTAGGTAGGCCTACCCATTCCTAGAATAAAAGAGCAAACCTGAGCAAACACTTTTTGGATTTTTACGTCATTCCTGCTTGTGAAGAAGAATGATTAATGACTGCTTGTCTGTCTGTATCGACATCTTGTCGACAAATGCAATCCTCTTGGTCGCCAACCCTCATGGCTGTAGTTGTGAGGTTTAGCGACTCAAGGTGTCCAAATTGAAAGTCACTTCCGTTTATATCGGCCCCAAAGAGGCATATTTGAGTCAATGAATAATTCCTGAAACTTAGAGGTTAATTATGAGAGGACTTTATGGTGTTTAAGACTTTTTGTTTCCGGTACCTAATTTGTTTGTGGCTGTTGTTGGGAGAGGAGATGTTAAGTTTCTAACATTGTTACAAGTATATTTGAAGTAAAGTCTGGGTTTTAATTAAGCCTAACATTTTCAATATGATGTTTTGTTAGTAGGCAAATAGGGTAAATAGAAAATGATTTACTATTGTTATGTGACTTTCAGGTTGCATTAAATATAGAGTTGGATGATGTGGACTCTTTTGACCCTGACCTCTCTGACAGCATCATCAGCAACACAAGACGTTACTCAACCATTCTGTCGGACTTGGTCTTTGAGCTGCTGCCATCCTACAAAGTTAAAGAGGTAAAGTACAAGGGTTCGTGTTTCTTAAAAACATACAGTGGATGAAACAACATTAAGGGACGATTTAAAATATTTAAAATACCAAATTTTTAACCAGGCTAGTTACAGCTATGGTACCTTGGGTTTGTAAGAGTAAGTCTCTGTGCTTTCCTCTTGGACATTTAAACATCCATAAGGTGTAGTATTTCTATGTTATTGTGTAAATCTATGTGCTTAGAAGTAACATGTTTGCCGCTGTAACTCGCAATCCGTCATACTACCTACTACGTTACCACTGACTCATTCGATGGTGATAGCCATAGTCTTGGGTACTGCATGTAGACTTCTCATTCTATTGTTAAAACTTAAGCCTTTTTTATGTTTGTTTGTATTTGATTGTGCTTAAATTAGTTTTTATCAAAATTTAGGATAAATTCTGTAGCCTAGAGAAGGTTTTATTGAACCCTATTAAAATTATTATACTACAGGGTTGCCACCAGCCATGAAAACCTTGAAAAGCTTGAATTATGCATGAATTGCTGTGACCATGAAAAAAGGCATGGATTATGCATGCATTTCTCCATTGGACCATGAATTTTCAAAATCAGGAAAAATTATTCTACCAGTACCATTAAATTTGCCAAATATAAAATATTTCATATTTAAAAACAGTTCAGAAAAACAAACACTAAGAGAGAATACCATATAGTGATGATTATTTAAAATTTTCCACGTTCAGGAACAATTGCTTAGTTCATTCCAATTCATTTTAGGTTAAATGCTGATGTCAGCTGAGTCTTCCCGAGGACTGTATATGGTTCGAAAAATCATTAGGTGGCCTACCACCGCGTATGGTTAAAGGGGTAAGGGGACTTAAACCACAAAAACAGAAGCCTTAGACCATACACAGAATTGAAACGGGCCACATAATAAAACAATAAAACTGAATTTCCGGCTCTCACGCCTGATGATTTTAGCCTTTTGGTTAAAACCACAGACAATAGACCATTAATTGTGTCTATAGTCTGTGATAACACCAATAAGTACATTGTGTAATAAGATAAACCAGAATAGAGGATTTTTCATGACATTCATATGAGGGGGCGAGGGTAAAACAGGTCTTTTTGGCTGGGTGAGCGAGATATTTGTTTTATTCCAGTGGCAAGACTGAATTAGACCTACACTTAATATATTTTACGATTCTTCTCCAATTTGTCATTTATAAAAGCTGGACCTGTTTTGTTTTCAACTTGGTTTTGAATGTATATTTATAAATCACTATGAAATAGCTGGATTTCATGTATAAAAGTTTTAATCAATAGTAACACACAAAAAAATCAATTTCTGAAATCAGCAAAACTCAATTGGGTTGAAATTACACAGAGTGCGACAAAAACATCTATTTTTCGCAGCACACTGTTCATCGACAGGTCGTCTGAGGGTGGTGGGGGTAGGCTCGTTGGAAAGCCTATACGATGCCATTATCTGTATTCATAGAGCAGTGGTCACCTGAGCAACACGTGTTTGTTATCGAGCCGTTTAAAAAAGTAATGATTCAGTCATTTCAACTCAGCGGCATTTCCATGCATTCTTTGAATTAGGTCGACACGAAGAGGTTCCGGTGAGATTGTCTGTATGGTTAATCAACAAAATTGAACAGATTAATACACATTAATCTGCAGACTCTATCGAATGTTAGTTGTCTGACATCCGATCTGACTTTGGACGACTTGTCAGCTTCTTTTTGAACGCAGAAGCCATTGTTCTAAAGTTGATTTTCCACCACATTATTGTGCCACTTGACGGAATCGACGTCGCCGTAATAAAAAAAAATGCACCAAACTGCCGCTGAGTTGCGATGACTAAATCATTACTTTTTAAAATTGACTCGATAACAAACGCACAATGCTCAGGTGACCACTGCTCTATGACCACAGATAATGGCATCACTTCATCTATGGTGTAGGCTTTCCAACTAGCCTAACCCCACCACTCTCAGACGACATGTTGCTGAACAGTGCGCTACATAAAATAGATTGGTTTTTTTGCCCCAACCTGTATGAGCGCATTGACTATGAATTTTTTCAAACTACTAATGAAAACCATGAATTCTGCATGAATTTTGTCATCCCACTATGGTGGCAACCCTGTACTAGTAAACTGGATAACCACCGTTTTTTTACCCTGGTTTTATATTTTGATATTGTAGGTAACAGCAAAAGATGCTTTGGACATTTACATCGAACACAGAGTTTTGATGGAACAGCGGACTAGAAATCCGGGTGAAGTGCGGAACACAAACAACAAATATCCTCCTGAGCTCATGAGGCGATAGTAAGTAGGCTATAGCTTTAAAATAGAAAATGGTAGTAAATTTACAAATTTTACTAATTCGGCTCGTGCTCGGCTCGATTGAAAATCTCAGGCCACCTCACTCAAAACACCTCTATTTGGTTTATACGAATTTTAAAAAATATGACAGCAAAATCGCCAAAAATGCCTTGCCACTAAAGAATTTGCCCATTGTCAGTTGTTAGAGGGTTAATTGTCCTGGCTAAAGTATACGTAAACTTGATCATAGTCATTTTAACAAAGCAATCAACTCATTAATTAGTAATTAATTGTTCACTTTATCTTTGTCTTAAAATACACACCTGTATTTTGTGTTGGTTTGTTTCTGAATAAAATCATAAAAATATTACTAAACGAGTAAATTATTGAGTTAATGATTACTAGCAGCCAGCGTCACTTCGTGACTTCAATATCCACGACTTATGAATTAATTTTCCAATTTTCTATTGTGCCAATATTTTGAGCTTTGTTGACTGGGCTATGAGTTGCCCATAAAGATAACCCCATTTTCCTAATGATTAAAGACAATTGTATCATACCATCTGTTTTGATTTAAACAAATGTAAACTTGAAAAAGTTCAGATGATTGACAACAGAATTCAGCACTAATTCTAACTAAATTTTAAAAGACTGAAAGGGCTTTCACGGGATATCATCCAAAGCTGCAATAAGGCACAGCTAGAGGATAAGAGTAAATTGATACCTAATATTCCTATACCTACAAATAAATATTTAGGGTCTTTTTGCTGAATACAAAAGTCCAACAAATTTTTTTAATAATATAGATGTTATCAAATCTAATTTTGTGGTAAGCACGTTTTGTGCTATTAGCACAGAAGGAACATGTTTGATCCCCAATATAGTGGCAAAGGTTCATAAGCTTTTTCTTAAAAGTGTTTGTAACGTAACCCCGTTGGCTAAAAATTTCCAATTATGGCCTTGGTTGTCACATATTAAGGGCCGTGATTTTTTCCGAGTATTTAACTGAGTGTTTTTTTTTTTTTTAGTGAGATCTACTTTACGGACCGCACCACCAGGAAGCCAGTGCCCATCAGGGAGGTGAAGGCGGATTATGTCGGACAGCTGGTGACTGTTAGAGGCGTTGTTACTCGGTGTACGGAGGTGAAACCGATGATGGTCGTGGCTACTTACACATGTGATCAATGCGGCGCTGAGACCTACCAACCGGTTAGTACAAGTCAATACTACTAGTGTGAAGATCAAATTATTTTCTTATTTTTATTTGTTCAATAAAATGGATATTGTATTTTATGAGTTCAGTTTTGTGGTTACTAATTTGTATTATTACACTTTGTTTGTTATCAAATTTGCCAGATTCTTGGCAAAAAAAACGTATTAAATGCTATTTTTGAAATACGATGATTGCACTTTTTATGTCAAAATCCACAGCTTGATGGTACAGTTTTTTTTGTAAGTTTTGTGGATTTGCAGGTCAACTCCCTGACATTCATGCCAATCGTCATGTGTCCAAGTGATGATTGTCGAGTAAACAAATCCGGCGGTCGTCTTTATCTTCAGTCTCGTGGGTCCAAGTTCATGAAGTTCCAAGAAGTTAGGATCCAAGAACACGTGAGTACCAGTTGGGATCATTATTATTCTAATTATATTTACACAAACACATGGTTATGGTTTCAATTGTATGAAGTTGAATTATTGATTAAGCACTCTGTTTTAATCTCACGTTAAATGGTTGTCTGTCAACAAATACTGCACTGTTCATTGAAATTGTATTGTTAATACAATTAACATTTCCTTGTATAAATTTCCTTGTATAAATCAGGCATCCATATATAAATCCCAAAGTACCCATGAACTTATGAGAAAACTAAAAGTCACACCCCCATAAACCATATACCGTGCTTAAAATGTTTGTCATGACGAGGAACCTTGCGCAAAACTATACCTTATTTTGCTCTTAACGCTGCAAATGTGTTATTTAACGCTGCAGCGACAAATAACACTCGGAGGGTTAATACAAAGTCCCCCAGGGGTCAAAATAGTGTGTAAAATAGGCCGTAAATCCTTTCTAAAGGGGACTTTCCATATACCTTATGTTAAAAATACCTCAGCTGTACTTATATTTTGGTATTATTTCTATTTATTGCCTTATTAAAATCAAGTGTAATTATTTATTTGATTTACTGTATTCTTTTTTGTTTATTTCAATTCAGCTTAACTTAACCAATCAATAGGAATACTTATGAAGTCAAACGGGGTGAAGCCCGTGGGTGACAGCTAGTTGTACTTAAATTATTAAGCACAATCAATTCTAATCATCCACAACTGCCGTAGAGCGATGAGGTACCAGTGGGTAACATCCCTCGACCATTGACAGTGCTGTGCCGAGGTGAGACGACGCGTCAGTGCCTTCCCGGCGACCACGTATCTATCACTGGCGTCTTTCTGCCTCTACTCCGCTCTGGCTTCCGACAGATAGCTCAAGGACTGCTGACTGACACTTACCTGGATGCACATGTAAGTGAAGAAAATACTAAATAGAATATTCTCGGATACTATTTCATACCCATTTATATTATTTTGTATAATTGACTCTTTAAACTCGCATTGCAATACAGATTACAGTTAAACCTTGACTAACCGAAATGAAGGGGGCAAAATTGTTTTCGATAACCTATTTTTACAATTAATCTGTTAGGAATTCTAAGAGATAAAACAAACTGTTAAACAATTCAAAACGGCACACACTTTCCATTGCCTAGCTATTTTCCAATTGATTTGAATTTGTTATGATGGATTTGTTTAACCTGGGGATGTGGTTGAAACAGATTTCAATACATCCATTTAATTTTTGCTCCCCTTATCTCACACTTGTTGGTTTTTATTGAACATTAGATATATTGTCTTCAGAATAAATATTTGGTTTTGCGATTTTACGCATTTGGGTAGGCCTAAACCAATCCTAATCCCTGCTAAATTAAGGTGGAGGTGGGTACCATGAAAATTAAATCTGCTTCCCTTGTAGTTTTTTCAGACAGTTACGCTACCACAGTTACAGTTTTTTTTTGCAGCATACATAATTACTATTCTACGGTTATCTCAAATATACATTTTTGTTTTTCCGAAGTTGCAAGTATTTTGATTCACACTATTGCTTACCGGGTACAATAGCAGCTCGTATGAAGACAAATTTGTAAAAAAAAAATCCCTGGGAATTATTTTGTTTTGTTTTTTACCGCAGGAATTTTTAATAACTGTCTTCAACACTGGGTGAAACATGTTTTCCTTCTTCTCAGTTCGATTGGCTGTGGCTTGTTTGTAGTTTAATGCCTGTATTTACAGAAGGTGCATTCGCACAGCAAGATAGAAGACACAGCCGCAGCAGGGGAACTGAGTCAGGATGAGATACATCAGCTGATCGGAGACGACTTCTACTCCAAGTTGGCTGCAAGTCTCGCCCCGGAGATATACGGCCATGAGGACGTGAAGAAGGCGCTGCTGTTGTTGTTAGTTGGCGGTGTTGATCGTACTCCTGATGGCATGAAGATTAGAGGTTAGCTAGTTTTTTTTTTACAATTAGTATGATGATGTTACTTTAATACAAAGTCCCCCAGGGGTCAAAATAGTGTGCATTTTCTGTCCCTACTTGAATCTTTTAAAAATACTTGGTATTCATTTTTTCCAAAAAATTATAATCCTGCCCTAGAGTTTTTCCTTGAAAAAATATAGACTATACAAGTTATATATATATATATATATTAAATAATTGTAGTAAAGAAGTACAACTGCGCACCCTGAATATTATATTTAAAAAAAGAAGTAACATGTTTCGGACATAAATCCATTTTCAAACTTCAAATACATTAAATACTTAACTGTTGTTTATATTGTTTGTTTGCAAATAAATATAATTTATATATAGGCCTACAGATGATTTATTGAATTAGACAGGATTTGGAAAGACATTTTTGTTACTGATTATTTAATTTTAAAATTTGGTTGAAGATTGGGTTTCTTGAAGGAATTTGGCTATTTAAAATATGATTTGGATTTTTTAGATTTTCTTTGTATATGAAAGAATCTATTCGATTTACTTTGTTTAAAACTTTTAGAATTTTCATGTTGGTTTTTAAATTTGTGTAATTGTGGTTGGTCGATAAAAGGTGTTCAGCAAAGTTTGATTTCATGGATGTTCTGTTGTTACTCTTAAGAGCGTGCTCTTTGAATCTAGATTTAAAAGAGCGTCCTGTCTGACCAATGTAGAAGTGTTCACAATCATTGTAGTTAATTTTGTAAGTTAAGTAAGAATGTATTAAGTAAGTTAAATATTTAATGTGTTTGAAGTTTGAAAATGGACTTATGTCCGAAACATGTTACTTCTTTTAAAAAATATAATATTCAGAGTGCTCAGTTGTACTTATTTACTACAATACTTTAATTGTAGGGCCAGCAGCCCTATTACGTGAACACCTAAATTAAAAAATATATATATATACTAGCTGACCCGGCGAACTTCGTATCGCCTAAGTTATAGGTTTCCCCTAAGACAGACTGATGGAAAGAAAGTACCGTTACGTTTAATTTTCAAGATGATCTCGTTCGCATCGCTCAATCACGTCCTGGTTGAAGTCCGTTCGCTACGCTCACTCACCTTTGGGTTGGAGCTCGTTCGCTACGCTCACTCACCTTTAGGTTGGAGCTCGTTCGCTGCGCTCACTTGCCTTCAGGTTGGAGCTCGTTCGCTGCGCTCACTTGCCTTCAGGTTAGCTCGTTCGCTACGCTAACTCGCCTCCAGGTTGAAGTTCGTTCGCTACGCTCACTCACCTTTTGGTTGCAAATTAGCTGTTGTCATAAATGTAAAAGAAATAATAGTGCTGCACCCTGTTGGTAATCCTTGTAGGTAACTTTAATGCTATTGAACATCATAGAACAGAACCAACTTGTTTAATTGAAACAGCTGTTAAGATTCATTAATTCCATTTCTCATAAGGTTAACATGGGAAACTCCAGAGCCACTGGGGCGGAGCCCTTTTAAGAATTTCGAAACGGGAAATAGTTTACGTCCGATTCGCATACCTACAGAATTTACACACCAAATTTCATAACGATCGGTGAAGTCGTTCCGGAGGAGTTTGCAGACAAACACTATGACACGAGAATTTTATATATTTATATTAGATATATATATATATATATATATCAATATGTGTTTTTGGATTAACCTAGTGAAATATCAGACACAGACACTCTCCAGCTAGATAAGATAAGTAAGAACCCCAAACAGTTTCAAACACAAATTATGTGACATAAATAGTGGTTAATTGTCTTTATATTTATTCCTTGAATCAATTACAAACAAAGAAGTGTAACTCGAAAACTAGTATTTCTGGAGTAGCTCAGCACTAGGCCTTAATTTAATCCTAAAGTTCACTCTTGGCTAATGATGCTTGAAGACGGAGTAGGCTAATTATTAATGTTGGTAAGGGAGTAAGTACTTGTATACTCTGCTCTATTGTGAAAAAAATTGAGATTATATAATGAAATACATGTCACTAGATAGAATACAAGTAAACTAAGTAATCAGTTTTTGTTAGTTTTTATTGTTGCTTAGTTATTCACTTTTACTATCCCAATCATGTAGCACCTGCATCACAACTTCTACCCAATATGTCAGTAGAATGTGGGTATCCTTTTGTTCTTTGTACAAATGTACAGGGTGGCGCAAAAAGTATGGTCACATTTTAAATGAATATAACACAAATGGTTTGATACAGAACTTTTAATAGGTACATCATGTTTCTGAATACTCCAAAGCACCCAATTACAAAAAAAGAACCTTGTTAGCTACATAGCTGTTAGATAAATCGGTCAGTCAAAAGATTAGGTGCGAAAAATGACTTCTGGCAGATGGCGTCCTTCCTCGTGGATGGACCGAGGAACCCGTTGAGGATGGACGGGATCATAACGGAACCCGTTGTCCTAAATGCTTTCACCCAGCGAGATATTGATCTGCGATCTGGTATCAGTCCATCACGCGCGACACCAAAATGTTGTTGAAACAGCCGCTGTACTGTAATGAAAGATTCATTGTTTTTAAAAAAAACTGTTCCACGGCATAAACGCGGTGCGCTACCGTCCACTGCGCCATCTCTGGGCAAACTGGCTTTAATGGCCGACTTGCAGACGGCCGGTAGCGGCTTCCTCCCCTCCCCCACGACTGGTACTACGCAGATCAAATCCGACCATCCTTTTCGTGCCACTCGGTACATTGGGCAACACTTTCACTATAGGCTACTGTGCTGTATTCTACTGTATTTCTTTACCTAAAGATTTGCCCTACGGTATATTTATGGCTTTCCTTAAACAGATTTCCAACTGAAGGAGCATAAAATTAGCAGTGTATCTCAATCTTCTTATAATAATATTATAAAAATTTCCTAAAGATGAAAAAATCTCAGGGACGGCTTATCACAAATTCATCACTATTTCAGGTAACATCAACATCTGCCTGATGGGAGACCCTGGAGTGGCCAAGTCCCAGCTGTTGTCCTACATAGAGAGGTTGGCTCGTCGCAGCCAGTACACGACGGGTCGTGGGTCCAGTGGCGTGGGTCTTACTGCTGCTGTACTCAAGGATCCACTGACAGGAGAGATGGTGGGTTTGGACGTCATAGATTGTTTAAGATTTACATAAAACCAGTGCTCGTCAGCCACAAATGAGCTTTTAGTGCTTGCTGCTTGGTGCATAAGAGGCAGACAAACCTGAGTTGCTTGATAAACTGCAGCATCCTATATATGAGCTCCTCCTGAGGAAGGTTTCTGCCCCTTATCTATGTCCAAGAGTGCTTTCCCTTACTTCATTAAGAGCTGTACAGTCATAGAGTAGATGGTCTGCAGTCTCCTCGGACTGCCCACATTTCCTACATGCAGTGTCTCCATTGTAGATCCTCAAGCGGTGCAGGTGGCCTTGGCCTGTGACCATTCTGTGATCTGTCTTAGTTGCTTCCTGTATAATTGTAGAGTATTGGAGGTGACTGTCTGGGAAGGGAAGAAGAGAGTAATCTTGGTTACCCTTTGGCGTTGAAGCCTAACCAATCTTCTTCGGTTCTCATGAGCCCATGACATGACTGATTGACATGCAAACCCACAAGAAACTCCACAGAAAGGCTGTGTTCCCACAAAGTCTGAGGCTGACACCATGTTTGCCAACTTGTCAGTCACCTCGTTCCCTTCTATCCCTGAGTGTCCAGGAACCCAACAGAACAGAGTGTTGCCATGTTGCAACTTCCCAGGGCAGATACCATAGTGAGGCAGTCCCAAACCACCTTAGACAAGTAGCAGGAGTCAAGTAGCTTAAGCGCTGCCTGGCTTTCTGTGTAAATGTGTCACCTAAACCTTTTACAATTGGATCAATATGAATGTATAGCAAAGTGATATGAACCAGTAGACCACATAATCCTAATGAAAATCACATAAGGAAGCTAGACTTTGACGCTACAAAAAATGTACTGTAATTCTTTTTTGGTTGCGATCTAAAGACACATTTTATCTACAGGTACTGGAAGGTGGAGCGTTAGTCTTGGCAGATCTGGGTATCTGCTGTATTGACGAGTTTGACAAGATGGCGGATCACGACCGTACGGCAATCCACGAAGTAATGGAACAACAGACCATCAGTATTGCCAAGGTAAGTGCCTGTAATGGAAAACCGGATAAGATTTTTACATTTTCAGAAGCCTTTACAGTTTTTGACTAGGCAAAAATGGAGACAGTTGAACCTTAATGTACAAAGGTTTTTTTAAATCGATTGATTGACACTCAATAATTCAAAATTTACAGCGACTGAAAGGGTGTTTGACCAACAGAAACTAGTGACTAAAAAAAATAGGAAGCTGAGGAAAGTTATCTTAGTTATCTTAAGTTATCATGTGTTTTTGATACTTTGGGGCTCCAATTAATTAGTTTGGGCATTATTTAACAACGACAAAAATATACAAATTGTTTGTTAGTACTGTAACGGCTCATTAATAGAGTTGATTTTCAAAGTAATAACATACTTGTACCAGCATAATGTTAAAATACACACAAATAAGCTCTTGATATCAAAAGTCTTAATTTAGATTCCGCCACTCATGACCTGTAAAAAAACCTAAAAAAATCTACAAGTTTAAGAACTGTAGATTCATAAACTGGTTTTAGTATTGTAATTTAACTCCATTAGGGTGTATAAATGTGTTTAGATAAAATCTACTCTCACTACTTGAGGAAAAAGAATTTTAATTTTGCCAAAATAAAGTTTACTGAATGAGTTTTAAATTTCACATTGAAGTTGATAAACGACCATGTAAAATAATACTAATATTTTAGTCCTCTCTGTTATTGTGTACATCTATAAGCCCCTGGATTAGGTACTATTTTTCCAGGTAAGATTACCAAACTACTGAATTTCAGAAATGACCTTGAGTTTTTCTGAAAAAGGTTTTGTATCTTTGGCAAGTAAAAATTGAAACTGGTAATATTACAGGCTGGTATCATGACTCGATTGAATGCCCGAGTGAGTATCTTAGCAGCAGCGAACCCTGCGTATGGTCGCTACGATCCTAAACGCTCCGTAGAACACAACATTCAGCTGCCTGCTGCGCTACTGTCTCGGTTCGACCTTCTGTGGCTCATCCAGGATAAAGCTGACCGAGACACTGACCTAAGGTGTGTTATGTTAATTTGTTATTTTGTATCAATAAATGTTTGTGTGTTGGATCAGATCGTCTAACTTGTGAAGCTATTGATGATATCCACAACATGCTGTCTTTTTTTGATGACATTCACAGTCCAAAAGGAGGCTCGGGAACAATTTCAGTACCAGTAATTTTACCTTTAAAAATATTGTATGGTTTTTCAAAGGTTTTAGTAAATATGAAAAATGTTATTCTCGCCTAAGGAATCCATCCTGTTTTGTGATAGGCAAGATCACAGCTTAAGGTGAGTTGGTTGGTGGGGGTTTTTGGGACCAACGTGATCTTTGTGGCTATCGTTCCAAACCACTTGAAACTTAAAGAAAAATATGGAAAATTAAAAAAAGTTTAAGTATTGATTAAACAATGGCAGTTACAAAGTCTTCAGTAAACGTTAAGAGTAACTTTGAAAAAAAGCTAATTTCGGTTTGTTTACTTCGGCAGTCTGCTTTTCTATTACCTGATGGATTTCTTACGGCCATTACTTTAAACCACACAGGTTGTGGATTTAAAAAGAACCTGGATACGGAGGTATTTAGTATTTTTCTTACATAGACTAAATTGGTTTGGTATGCCTTCCTTTCCTCATAGTTTTAGTTTAGTTTAAACATAAATTTCACTTAAAAGTTATTATATTTTACTAATTTTATTTTTTTAAACATTTATTGAAATTAATTTTATTATAATCCTTGTGAAAAAACTCCAATCTATGTATATATTTTACACGTCTGGATGTTGAAACAGAAATTTTAATTTGAAATCTTTTGTCAAATGACAATTTTAATTGTATTTTTTTTTATGACAAATGTTATTCTGTAGGCTGGCACAGCATATCACGTATGTTCACCAGCACTGCAAGCAACCCCCTGCTCAGTTCACAGCACTGGACATGGGCCTGATGAGAAGGTACATCGACCTGTGCAAACGCAAGAGTCCTGTAGTACCTCCCGCACTCACAGACTACATCGTTGACGCTTATGTGGAAATGCGGAAGGATGCTCGAAACAACAAGGTGTGTTACTTATACACCTCTGACTATGGGCTCAGGGTGTATACCAACCGGGAAAACTGGGAAAAAATCGTGAATTTGAGGGGACCTGGAAAAACAGGGGAAATGCCAGGATTTTTGGAGCGATTCCAGGATTTTTTTTAGCCCCGGTAGAAGATTGCAATCGTGAAACGCACATTTTTTCCAATTGTGGAAGACTATGATGACATTTCCATAACCGCGGGACACGACGATAACGTCTATACTTGTGCAGGAAATATAGATGATGGTGATGTATATTGGTGTATACGTAAGCTGTATACAGTAGAACCTCGGTTAACCGAGCCTCGCTTAACCGAGACTCCGGGTTAACCGAGGCCGTCCTCGAACGATTTTTTTTTATTTAAAAAGCTAAAGAAACACGCACAAACTACGTACAGTAATGAGCGTTTGGGTGCTCCTTTTATCGCAATACGCACGCTAGCCTGCAATGCGTTAAAACTACTGTACAGTAAAATGTTGGCAACTGTTGTGTTTCCTCGGCCAAATATTTGCGTAGCTTAGCGCTTATCTTTGCCGAATGCATACGGCACTGTCACCCGACACCGCTCGCCAGAGCAGCTGCAGGTGTTGTAACCCGACACCGCTCGCCGCCGGACCAATGCGAACTGTTTCAATGCCGAGACACGACTGACTGAGCCACTCGCTCTCCCCACCACCCCGATTCGACAAAAGTTTTTTTTTTACAGCGATGAATCTGATGGGACGACTGAGAAAATATCACATACAGAAGGTCTAAGAATGATCGAGGGAGCACTGGCATCACTGAGCTATAATTCTAACTGGAGGTAGCACTGAATGTCAAAGATGCGTGTCGCCAGCCGCCATGTTTGCGTGAGGTGTGAGTTAAAATGAAGCCATGTTATTGGATGAAAAAACTCACTGCTATGCAAACCTAGTTATAGAAGCCATGTTATTGGATGCAAAAACCTTCTGCTATACCAACCTAACAAAATCAGCGACACGCTTTTGACAGACTTCTGCAATGGCAGTGCTACCTCCAGTTATAATTTTAGCTCAGTGACTGGCATACATTGAACAACAAGAAACCGCAACAACAAACGATTTAGTTTGGCTGCGACGCTGGCGCAACAGGGCGGCTAGCCTAAGATCCTCTAATCTAAGTCAAAAAACAATAACTGATTTCTTTGGGAAAAAAGATTAGCTTACTTTGTTTATTTTTGTATAATGTACAGTAAATTAATTTTCATTTCTTTGATTTAATTTTGTAAACAGGAATACTGTACTGTAACTAAACTTCTGTACATTGTGTAGCCTATATCATACGTATTCAGTTGTGCAATAAATTGAGTGTTATATTAAAACAGTGTTTAGTATTGTGAGTGTTACCGTTTCCTCTCACGTTTTATTGCGTACTAATAACATTTTCACCACACTATCATGTTTTTGGCTGTATTACATACGTTAATTGGTGGCCGAAAGTTAGGTTTTGCTGGCGATGCCAGCTGTCCATAATTTGGGGACCGAGCAGGTTTTTACAGGCCGGGGCCGCAAAATCAGCTGTCCGCTTACTTACTTAAAACATGAATGCATTTTAAATACATAATCAAAATCCATAGCATTTCAATAGAATTGTGTTATTGTCACCGTTGCCTAGCAACTATATATTTTTATTTTTGCTGATTCCTCAAATTATTTCTTCACATAACCTTAAAGTTGTAGTTGTGTTGACTATCAGTGTGCATTATTATTGTGGTGAATAGTGGTAATAGGGTATAGTGTGGTGAAAAATAGCGTTCGTACCACGGACCGAAATGGTTTTGCGGCTCTCGATCGATTTAAGTTCTCGACTTCGTCTCGAACTTAAAAACTATCTCGAGCCGGCAAAACCTCATTTTCGGCCCTAGGTACGAAATATACTATTCTTGTACTAATAAACTAAACAACAGTTCAGTTAATAACTTTTGTTCATGTTTTAGTATATCTTGAGCTATTTTTAGCCCCGGTAACGATTTTTAGGTTACGTTCCGTGTTATCCGAGGTTCGCCGTATCCGAGGTACCCTCGGTCCCAATTACCTCGGTTAACCGAGGTTCTACTGTACCAAACATTTACGCGGGATTTAATATAATGTTCACGTAGAAAACATTCATGAGGGAACTTGGAAAAACTTTGAAAAACCAGGAAAAACCCTGGAATTTCACTTAAAAAAACAGTATACACCCTGATTGGATGGAACTAGATAGATTGTCATGTCAGAGCTGTAGCCAGTTTTAGAAAATATTCTTGTCTGCGGCATGAGTGAAGAACCTATAATGTTTGATCTGCAAAAGTTCTTGCATGTCGGTTGTTCATTGGTGACGTTCTATTTTGCAGGACATGACCTTCACGTCAGCTCGTAACTTGTTGGCCATTCTGCGACTGTCCACGGCTCTTGCGAGGCTGCGACTCAGCGACTCTGTGGAACGAGAAGACGTCGGAGAGGCTATGAGGCTTCTGGAGATGTCCAAGATATCATTGGTACAAACAGAAGAGAGAGGAGGAAGGTGAGTCTAATGTTTGCGAAGAAATGTTTAACCTTTGACCTCACATACATCTAGACATTCTATTACTACATTTAAGTTGCGACCTTTTTTAGATGAGAATTAAAAATGAACGTAGCTGTATTGAGTTACAATTGAATGTACTGGTGTAAAAAAAACGTTAAACTGTAGGCCTTGAATTGGTTATAGTGTACGCGGAACTAAACGTTCACACAGGGATTAATAAACATTCTTGTGGGAACCTAGAAAAACTTTGAAAAACCAGGAATAATACCTAAAAAAAACTGGAATTTATATTTAAAACGTTAGTTGCTACCTTCTATTTATTTTATTATTTACCGCTGATGTTATATTACTCACAAGTTACATCTGATTGAGCCATTGACAAAGGTCGAAACTATTTTTAGCTCATCTTAGTCAGTAACAAAGCTGCACAAGGCTTCTTACTCTATTGTTCACTTGCTCTTCATCAGGGTGTCTACCAACCGGGATATCCAGGAAAACCGGGAATTGTACTTAATTTTTTACTGCCCATGAAATGTACGGGAATTGTCCTTAAATGCCAGACTATGTCCTTAAATTTTTAATGGGCCATAATTTTATTGATCGCTAGTTGGTTAGGAGCACATAAAAGGTTTATCAGATGTTTGTTTACATTTTCATGATTTATTACTAGAGTAATTATGCAATAAAAATCCCATTAGCAATCTCAAACCCATTAATATTTTATCACGACAATCAAGTGTCAAGTCAAGTACTTCCAAGAACTGTTGACTCAGTTAGCTAGCTCATAAATGTTGTATCACTTTTATTCCTTTACAACTTCTTTTTTTATTACTAGGGCTTATTATGAGATTATATTATGAAGAATTATTATGAGATCCCAAACCTATTTTATGTGAAAATAATAGCTTTATAATGGCTGTTAAATTTCACTTCTTACTTGTACTTTCGGCTTGACTGTTTATGGTTTCATATTAAACATGTAAATAATCTACAGTCTTATTTTGTAAGTTAACCCCTTTTTTATAGATATTTTATCTTTCAATTGACAAAACCACAAACATTGTTGTTTGCGTTAATGTTTTATCACTATGTAGGCCTGCTTGGTTTCAAATTATGTCATTGCTTTTTCTGTATCTTTGTCTTATATTGTTGGCTATTCAGGTTTCAATGTTTTTTGTTTCCCATATACTTATTCATTGAGTTGTATGCTTTAAGCAATCTAAATCTTATGAACTAGAATGATGATAGTGACTTTGCTGCTATTATAACCTCATTGTTTGTTACCCAGTTTATATAGGCCCTCCTAAATAATTAGGCCTAGGCCTGGGTATTTTGATTCTTGAAAGAGCTGTAAAATATATCAAGAAAATGTAATTGAGCCTAGATAAACAACTAATGATTGCTATGTGTCGATATTAAGTTTGCAAATGAAAATACAATAATCTTACTCTGTGCTTATTGCTTATTGGTAGCCGCTTACCATACCTTGATTTTGTACTAAGAACTGAGTAACAATATGCATTAAAGATTATTTTTCAAAAGTAGTCGAGAGCTTACGTTGTGCTAGGGTGAATCATGCCAAATTAATCCGCCTGGATCGGATAAGCTATGTTATGAAGTTAAAGTGACCGATGGAGATATTTTTTTGTCGCTATCGCAGGAGACAATGATTGCTTTTCTCTGTTACACTATAAAAGTTTTACCTAAAGTATAGGTAGGCCTATGCTTGTTTACTTTCAATAAATTTCTATTTTGAAATTTTTAACTCTTAGGCTATCTATTATTATTTACTTTTCTCTCTGGTACAACTACAGTTAATAACAAGATCAATACAGTTTGACAAATCAGGAAAATTATTCGGTAGGCCTAATGACATCGACAAAGGTTACGGCAAAGTGTCCTTAAATGTACGGGAATTGTCCATGAATTTTTTATCCAGAATGTAGTAGACACCCTGTTCATTCATATTTCCATCAAAACAACATGTGCCTATCTTAACCGGCAGTAATAATAATCAGCACTAGTTTTTATCGATCCATCAAACATTTTTTACTTTTCTTAGGATCGAACTGGATTTTTTTTTGTATTAAGCCCACTAAACACTCTGCTACACTGCTTTTCAAGTAATACTGTAGGTACAATACAAACTTTAATCTAGTTTCATTTGATAATTTATGGTTTTTTTATACCACCAATTAATTACTCACCACACCACCAAATCACATGTTTGCAGGGCTCCGTCCGTGGTGGACAGGATTTTCAGTGTGATCAGAGAGCTGGCCGCGGGAAAGAAGACTGTGAAGCTCTCCGAGGTTCGAGAGCAATGTACGAGCAAGGGCTACCAACCTGACCAAGTTGAAGAATGCATTGAACAGTACGAAGAACTGAACGTTTGGCAAGTCAACCAGGCACGCACTACAATTACGTTCGTTTGAGCTTCAAACTTTATCTATTTTTAATTTAAGCTATTTTTATTTCCATTGTTATCTTGACCTTCATCAATTACCTTACCAAAATGTTTATACGCCATTTTGTATTCAATCATTTTTGAAACTTTAATGTGCAATTGTGCCTTCAATTGAGTAAATGCATCGTTTAAGTAATTGTATTGTTTGATTTTTGTTGCCCTACTTTCAAGTTGTGCTTTGAACTTTTTTTAACAGTACTATTTATCTTCTTGTGATCATGCAACTCCTCCATTGGTTTTTTAATTTTCTGCAGCCAAAAATAACTTGAAAACTATTACTTACACTATTATTTATCTTACTATCTTAAATGAGGGGAGCGAGCTGGCGTAGTGGTTAGAGCGCGGGACTTCAGTCCCTGAGGTCCCGGGTTCGATCCCCGCCAAGTCACCAATGAATTTTATCTAAGTGATAATGCCGCAACCCCTAGGTCTAGCCTGAAGTAATGTGAAAAACAAACCCAGGCTCGTGCCTAGCGTCCTTAGGAAAAAAAAAAACTATCTGAAATTAAATTTACTTTTGGAGTAATTAATTACAATTATATAGATCACATTAGGGGACACCTGTTATTCAACCTGCAGAAAGTTTATACACCTGGATTGTACAATATAGGGGGTTTTTGTGTGCTTTTAAAAAAGAAATAGAACACTTAATAATGTTAGGGAACAACAGTTTATGCCAGGTTATAGTAACGATTTCATTCTTTAAGTGTTTGGGCATAGTTTTGAGCTTATGTGCGTGCGTTTGTTGGTCAAATTACACCCAATCTGAAAATTATAATTCACTGATGTGAGAGTTGGGATTGTAATGGCTAGTTTGCTAGTACAAAATTTTGAGTTCATCAATTAAGCAACATATTTATGATGACTTTAGCTGTGTGACCTCTTGTCTCGTCTTTCTGAAACTAAAGCTCTCCCACCATGGACGACTAACAAGTAAAGATTTGCAAAATTGCACACCAATAAAAAACCCCAATAGTGTCAAGTAGATAACTCATTGATAAAATTGATTTGCTAAAACCAATGGCATTGATCTTACTCTGCTGTTTCCATTCTACAAACATAAAAATACATACCAGTCTTATCATGGCTTGTATCAATCTAATATATGAACATTTAAGTCTATCATGGCTTGTATCAATCTAATATATGAACATTTAAGTTACGTCAGTTCTACAGTATGTTGCACAGTACAGTAGTACAGTCTATGTTGATGGATGCACTTTACTCTTAACCTGAGTATAAGCAATCCTTTGTACTTCATTCTACACCTACTGCAACAACTGCTTCTATTCTGGTACCAGTATGAAATCTGGCTATTAGGGACAAATCAAACCCCTTTCAATGTGAATCCGCTTATTATTTCAATATAATAATGTTATCTATGTACAACGAAAATTGTGTATTAGTTTATCTCGCATAGAACTACGGAACCGTTCAGATAGGGAAATCAACATGGGACTATATTCGCATTATATCATTATTATTGTGAATTAACAACAGGTCGCAACAACGAACAATTCATCTCTCTCATAACAATCAACGAAATGAAACATAAGTCAGGCAGTGCCACCCACTAATCTATGGCGCCAATGGCGCTGCTCTACATATGTTACAATTGTGTCTACAAGTATTTGTTGGATAAAAAACCTGTTCACGTAGAGTGAAGCGAAGTCAGTCGACATTGTAGGACCATGCTGCAGGGTCTCACTAGCGTATGTACATCGAGCCCACTGTCAATCCGACATGCAAAATTATAAAAATAAAATTTCATTCGTTAAATTTGGTCTTTAAAAAGAGATTTTAAAAGTACGATACTGCTTCAATTGATTTTAACGTGTTAACACACTTACTTGCCTTTTGCAACCTCTATTTTTGCAGTAAGGCGATGTTAATTTAATATTCGGCCCGACCCTGTCAGAGCCTTTATAAACTCCGCTTTGTACAAACAATGCTAAAATAAAAATGCTTATCTGGTAACTCATTCTAACTCTCACACTATAAAATACCTGGTACCTCGAAAGTAATTTGAATGTACAAAATTCCGATTCTTAAAAATAACCGTACATCTTATGAAATTTACGATACAAATTATATCGGATGAATAAATTACAATATACATGTACCGCTAGGCTAAATAATACACATCGAAAGAAATACGGTTTGAAACTACAACGAACCATTCAAACATCTCGGTTTTGTTATAATAGTTCCAAATCAAATTGACTCGTTTGGACATTTTCGATTCTACAAAATAAATGCTTCATACAAAATGTAACAATTTAAAATGTTTCTAGCGCAATACAATAAAATAACAATGGACGTGTGGAGGTGAAATGGACAGTTCAATGCAAAAACAATCATTACTCTTTGGAACTAGGCTGTGCAAAACTAGAATTATTTCTCATACAAGGTTATTAAAATGCAATTCAATTTGAATATTCTTTAAATATATTTATTTTTATATTGGGTAAAACGTTGGCTTCTATGGCATTGTTTTAAATTACCAAACCATAAATGAAGGGCAGTGTCAATTATAAATGCATATAGATCTTCACCATACTCTATGGAGCTGAGTATACCTTTTATATGGTGCATAAAAAAGGATTGGTAATTTTTTAAATTGGTTAAAATTGTATGTGTAAAATACCCCAAGTACAACCGGTACAACTGAACAAAACTCACTAAATGTCAATAGTTTTTGGTGAAATAGTATTGAGAAATATTATTGAAAGAATATATAACCTTTTTTATTTTAAAACCTGTTAAATAGGCTTGAACCCAGGGTTGCAAGTGAGAGATAATTCTCCCCACAAGGTAGATGGAGAGAGCGCAATTATCTCTCGGGGCCATTGCACATCACATGCAAACCACGGGCCTGATTTGAATACTAATTAAGTAAAATCGAGTGCTTCTTTAAGTTTGATCTTACCACATATTTTTTTGGAGATCAGAGCATAGTAAGTTACAGTTTTGCTATAGAGGAGTTGTGTACAATGTATTTTGAGTGTATAAAAACAGAGATATTCATAAAAATAAAACTATCCAGCAAATGTAAGGTAACAAGAAAGGTTTGCGTTTAAAGCATCAATAAACAACTTGAGGAAGATGTTGAACGAATAGCTGAACCTTGAACCATGATTTACAACACATGTGGCAATTGTTCTATGACTGGTGACATAATTTTGGGGAATGTGAATCTAGATATCTGTTACAATAAAAGTGTAAAACTAATTAGCAATATAATGCACTCATTTACAGTTTCAGAAATCAAATTTTATTCACCTAGCGTACTGTTTAAATTGAAAAATTCATACCGAGTTGTGATTACTATGTGGTTGAAACTAAGATTTTCTCAACAAAACCCTTTCAACTGGCCAACTTTGTTGTGATGTTAGTAATCTGGATAACAGTTCCAAAGAGAAATGTGATTTTGCTCTTACAAAATATACATACACCTTATAACTAATGTTCTGACCGCTAGTGGTAACCAACATAAAAGTACCATGAGTAACCTATACTATTGAGGAACTAATATTCGTTACAACACGTACCTACGACGTGACATGTGAGTCTTTGTGATACATTGCCTCTCCACTACACAACATCATGGTTAGATATCGAGCTACGTTTTACTTTTTACAAGGATTTCAACACGCATTTAAGTAATCAGAAACGCTAGTTACATAGTTGTAGAAATTTTGATAAGTTTTTCTAAATACAATAAGGATAGTATGATACAAAATTGTAAATTTGCAATCCTTTTGAGTATTACCTTTAACAGAGAGCCTTTATTTGATCTTTAAATGTCGATGAGTTTTAACAGATTATTTTTAATACTATAAATTCTGGATGCTTATAAAATATTGTGGGTTAGAATTTTTGTAAAATACATAAAACAACAGAACAGTTTTTGTCATAAATTTGTTCAATCAGGCACAGAGGCAATTTGAAACTTACAATTTTGAAAGTACTTCAAATTTAAATTGAAAAAAAGTTAAAGGTCACTTTGACTGGTTTTGTCAGTTTTCAGTTGGTTATTTTCTTCAGTGCTAAAAAGCATCCAATGCTGGTCTAGAAACACTCTCACTAATACTTGCATAGACATCTGGACACAGATTGGTTTTACTCAAGTTGAACAGTTTTAGACAGACAAAATGTGATCTTAACAGTCTAATGCATACAACAAAGGGTTTTATAAATACTATATAAAAAAGAACAAATGTTTGTAACGGTCTCTTAACCAATATAAATCTACCAACAAACAAGACTTAGGTAAAAAAATTAATCTGATTAACTTTACTAATTTGAATAAATTTAACATACTGTAAAAGCTGATGAAGTAGTGGGGGGCACATAACTTTTTACCAGTAATTTTAAATGTACTGTGGCCCTATGGTTTTAGATAACATCTTGATAAGAACGGGTTTTATAGTAACGGCCATAAAAAGTTAACACACTTTAACAGTTTAAAGCAACTGATTATCAAAATAAAATAGTCACTGATCCAATCAAGTTTTAGAATATGGAAAAATGAAAATGGTTTAGGTTCTTTTTGTTTGTGTTTTGCTTAACTAAGGTAAATTTAAATTTGATCTCAGTTTTGAACTGTTATGTTATTAAAAAAAAAAAAACGGCAAAACTACTTTCAGTGTTTACAAGTACCATCAGCAATAAGTCAACTAAATGTTCTGGTTCAACTAAAAATCTACCATGATTTAGATTGTATTGTTTTTTCTTTAAAACATTTTAATTAGGCCTTTTATACAGCATTTTATAAAATGTGTAAGCTTTTAAAAAATGTATCAACTGTGACAGTCTCATATACCCCACATTTGAGACTATGTTTTGTATTAAAAAATCTTCAACAGCTTAAAAGTGTTTCCCAAATAATGTTTTGGAATATAAAATAAAATACTTTTAATCATATAACATTATATAATCTGACTGTTAAACGGATATCACATACTTTCTATCGGTATACAATTTGGCGACGGCCACTCAGATCTCAATCTTAACGTAGGAGAATATTTGTCACATCACAAACACAAAGGTTCATCTCCAAACCACAAATAACCCTTTTGTTAACCACCTAATAAATTCTACATACACTTTTTCAGCTTATGTAAAATTCTCGCATCATTTAAATTTTATGCCTACTGATTAGAAACCACTTACAATCTTTTACTTAACAACGTTGAAAAACTATACCCTATCACACATTGAAGGTACAAAACCGTTGGATACAGTAAACCCTTGTTGATCCAAACAACATCATTGACTTTGCTTAGCTACAGCAATTAATTTGACAGAAGTTTGTAAAAAGACAGACACAGATAGGTTAGGAATGAGCTACTGTAAATTATGGAGTTTTGTCGCACATTTTATAGTGCTTCAGTAGTTTACTGATTTTAACATAACAATACACTATTGAAGCTTTTTCTCTATAAAAGGTGATTCATTTATATATGAGGACTACCCAAGTGGTATTGGAATAGCCCAAACTTTATTTGTATTGGATTTATTGGATCTGTTCCGAACCTTCATTAATCCTAACAAGTGCATCTCCAATTAGTCCGGACAAGTGAGGGTTTACTGTACTAAGTGAAGTTTCTAATTTTTGTTTACAACTGTTATTTATTGAATGTAACAGCAAAAAGAATTTTCCAACCTCTCTGCCCTTAGAAACTAATTACGATTAAACCTAAACAGTAACCAATTTGTGTAGGCCTACATTAAAACCTTCTTGGACATGTATGATGTATTCGTAATGAAACTGAAAATGTTAATGATGTGACAAACCTAGTTAATTTTAATGTGGCCAATGTTACCATTTAATTGTGCGTGTAACGGATATTGTACTATATTAGCCTAGGTTACAGCTACCTCTATTGTTGACAGTCCGTGTTGTTCATACCAAACTTTTCATAGGTTTGGTGTTACTTCAAAAAAATCTAGGCCTGGGTACCCCATTTAGCGTGTTGGAGAACTGTTGAGATTCAGGTTTTTCAATTTAGTCTTGCAATTTATATTTTATTTGAATAGTATTTTCAATATCAACATTGTCAAATGTAAATGAACTGTTTACACTTTGGTGTCGAGAGCAGTGCACTATCTGCAATATAACCTGTAAAGTACCAGAAATTTCAAAAATACACATGGTTAACAACTGTTTTGTAACTGAACAGATTTCCACTGCAATCAAACCGGTTTCCTTAATATCACTAACTTGAGAACATAAAACAAATTGAGAAATATTCTTTTTAATTGATTGGGTTAGTGAAAAAAATAGTTATAAAATGTGTAAATCGTACTTTTGTTAGTTTGATCAATTTGTTACAACTTTACAAAATACCTATTGTATGGACTTCAGTGAAGAAAGTCTTAATTTTAATCACTGTGGTGTTATCTGTTTATAATTTGTTCCCCGTTTAATTGTTTTAGGGTTTTTGCGTAATGATTTTATGTTCAATTATATTTTAGTTTCTCAACAGCTCCGATAACAGATCCTGGCTAAATCGAGCTCTCCCTTCCAAAGTGGAACAGAACGCAACAATAATGTGTCATAGCAGGGCTGACTACCGCACACATCAACGTAACAGTATAAAACATAACTATACAATATACAAACTGGCAAACACACATTTCTTCGCTTTCCCTATCTATTCTTGGGCTTATTTCTTATTTTATTCATTTACCCTCGACAATTTTATATTAATTATTATTTATCCCTTTATTTAAATATTAAAATTGTCCTAACACCAGGTCCTCTTCAGAGCACTACAAATTTTTAAACAATTGTCTTAAGTTTTTCATCTGTAAGAAATCGTTTTCCTGGCAGAGAGTAGATGGGAAGTTTGAGTCCTGTTCTCGGTCGCACTGACGGAAATTAACATTCTTCACTGTGTTTCATGCAGAACCCATGTTGACAAGAGTGATAACTAATATGTCACCACTATATGAGAAACTAGAACTAGTGAACAGGAGTGGGAATTGTAGCTTTGGATTTTAAAACCAACTATAATAATAATAATATGTTAAATTACTTTCACCATTCTGTTATTTCCTGTAAGTTAGTGATATGCTTTGGTACATACTGATTGTTGCAATTTAAAACTTTGAATATTCACAGTTCTAGTTTCTTTAAGTGGTCGGACTGAAAAGTAATGCCTGTTCTGTATATGTTTAAAGTAGTAGGTACTTCATGGAGTTTGTATCTAAATTTACTGCTGCTTGGTTTTGTCACTTGTACTGTGAAACACTTGCAAAATTATTTCTTCAAACAAATCATTACTATCTGATTAACTTTGGTTTGAAATCAAGTTTTGGAATGACTAGCTTTCTTTTATTGACTGAACAACCTTTAAAAAAAAAATGCATATAAAGAGTTTTAATGTAATTTTTTAATAAACTGACTTTTGTTAGATTTCAAACTAAACTTGAGCATTGTTTTTAATAAATAATATAACATTTTTGCCTTAAGATTTTCCTTCACTATAACCCTACCAAAAATATGAACAACTGGTAGTGGGACACCACTGAAAATTTAATAAGAAGGAAACTAATGTTAGGTGTTTTATAACTTCTTATGAAAACAAACCTGAAGTATTAAAAGTGAATATGATTTCACTATTTATTATGACCAGAACAGGCACCTAAAGGAAAACAATAGGAACAGGGCTGCAAAACAATATAAACGTGCGACGAAATGCTTGCTGAACTTTGGAAGCAAACCGATTTTCATATCATAATAAGGCATTAACACAGCGGTCCACACCCTTCCCATTGCTCCCTGCTAGTAAAAACTATTTCCAACTGATTTTAGTTCTTTTTCTACACCGCCGATCTATTAAATGGCCTAGAAGTAGGGCGAAGAGCGCAATGCTTAGTCTAGCCCTGGGTGCGCCACTGGTACACTGGGAAAGGATAGGCGCCGTCGCGCTGGCGCAGGTTTGTGCCAGTTGTTCCGGGTAGTCCGGCGTGCATGTCGCTGGCGTCATACACAAGTTCCCGGCGCATGGCTCGAAACAGCAGGTGGAGGAGTAGGTAGACCGGCGCGACTGCTCTCCCGTCTCTGGGATGTTGGGATCTGGAACAATTGATATTTTTGATTAACATGTTCATGGAATGTATTAGCATCACAGAAAGTGTTGACGTTCTTTGTTAGCTACTGTTTAGAAACTTTGCAAAGATTAGATTAGACTTCTACGATTTCAATACAGCATTAAAGTCTGTTCTAAAATTTAGGAGGTTTGAGGGGAAGTTCCCCCACCACTTTTTTGCTTAATGTATGTTGACGCTGGTTGACAGGTTGAATAAATGTTTGCTCATATTAGCCCCCCCTTTTACCAATTCCTGTAACAAAAGTCCTCGGCCTTTGCCCCACAGGCCATCAAAATCCCAATGTATTTCTTACGAAGAAAAGATTTTGTTTACTTAAACAGACGAATAAATTGTATTAATTACATCTGTTTATAGTAAACACACACACAAGAGCGTTCGTTTTCAGAGTGAGTTCGTTTTCAGTTTCGATAACTGGAGTGGAGTGATTGGTTACATTATCTTTTAGTTGACCTTAATCACATTTAAAATATTGAAGATACATCAGCTGTTAGATTTGTTTTTGTTTGTTTATTTACTTATCCTTGAGTTAACATTTTAATGCTACCATAGATTTCTGTATTGCATCAAGAGAAGTGACAGTGCATTTTTCTTATAATGTGCGATAGTTTTCTAATCTCTAAATTCTGTTTCAGTTGTTTACTTATAAATACGTACAGTATTATATTTTAAGTACCTGGGGACCGAGCTTTGCTCAGGGAAAATCATTAGTTTACTCTGAAAGCAGACTGCTCGCCTTTACTACTTCCTTCACCACTCCCTACATCGTGGATCTGTTTCCCTTCCTTCCGTATACCATTTTAGAATTGCAGATACATAATTGACACAGACAGTTCCCACACTCTGCACTGCTGGCCTTACTACTTCTTTCACCATCATGGACCTGTTTCCTTCCTTTCTCATTGCATTTTAGGATGGAAGATATATTAATCTAACTGCCACACATGGTTCCCACACTCTGCGATGCTAAACTTTACTACTTCCTACGTCACTTCCTACGCCACTTCCTACATCGTGGACCTGTTTTCATCTTTTGTATAGCATTTCAGTATATTAGATAAATTAATTGCCACAAACATTCCCCAGACTCCTCACTGCTAGCCTTCACTACTTCTTTCACCATTTCCTATGTCGTGGACACGTTTCCTTCCCTTTTCATAGCATTTCAGTATTGCAGATACATTAATCTAACTGCTGCAAACGGTTTCCAGTTCCAACTCTCCACACTGCTTTACTTTACTACTTCCTTCACCACTTCCTACGTCTTGGACAAAAAACGACGGGATGTATCCTCCCTTCCCATAGCATTTTAGGATTGCAGATACCTTAATCTAATCGTCATAAACAGTTCCCACACTCCGGACAGCTGGCCTTGACTACTTCCTTTACCACATCCTACGTCGCGGACCTGTTTTCCTCCCTTCCCATAGAATTTTAGGATTGCAGATACCTTAATCTAATCGTCATAAACAGTTCCCACACTCCGGACAGCTTGCCTTGACTACTTTTCTTACCACTTCCTACGTCGCGGACCAGTTTTCCTCCCTTCCCATAGCATTTTAGGATTGCAGATACATTAATATAATCGTCATAAACAGTCCCTACACTCCAGACTGCTCGCCTTTACTAAAAAATTGTTTTTACCTTTTGTCTACAGCTCAATAAGTTGTAACTTCCGTTACGGCCGTTTCGGCATTAACATGCCATCATCAGACGTCTTCCGCTGAAGCAGCGTCGTCACAGTAGAAACATATAACACGAACACAAACACATTTTACGAATACAAATACACAAAAATAAAACTAACAGGCCTGTCGCACACACGTTACCGTTTTGGTACACACGATACCGAACGGTAATACCGTTTACCGTTATTAGTTCAACAATAACATTGTTGAAATGAAAAAAGATCCTACAAAAGTGTACCAAAAGAAAATTAGGAAACTCGTAAATAATAGTAAGATACTTTTTAGTGATTAGGAAATAAAGCGCCTGATGGTTACCAACCCCACTGCACCAGTGTTGCGAGGATTGCCTAAAGTGCACAAGGAAGGCGTCCCAATAAGACCGTTGGTGGACCACACCTCTGCACCAACTTACACACTCGCTAAAAAGCTCGACCAAATTTTAAGAAATCAGATTCAATTCCTGAATAATTTTAGCTTAAAAAACTCATATGATTTTATTGACAAAACTAAGAATTTACACCTAAGAAAGCATGATTTACTGGTGTCATTTGACATCGTTAATTTGTACACTAATGTACCGGTTGAGAAAACTTTAGAATTAGTCCAAACTCACCTGACTTCTAACTCAAATATGTTACCAGAGGCAATCAGTGAATTTTTAGCCCTTTTAAAAGAAGTACTACAGCAGAATTATTTTAAGTTTGAGGGAAAATACTACTTGCAATCCGAGGGCCTAGCAATGGGCTCCCCCCTACATTGTATACTTGCCGACATTTACTTGAATTATATTGAAAAAGAATTCATACTATCAGATCACAACAAACAGAGACCAAAAATATTGCAGTACCACCGATACGTAGATGACACTATTCTTTTGTTTAATGGTAATGTCCGACAACTTGACTTATTACACAAATATTTGAACAGCATTTCCCCAAATTTGAAATTCATCATGGAAATAGAGGAATCCAACAAAATAAATTTTCTAGACCTAACGATAGAAAAATCTGATAATAAATTAGTGTTCAGCATTTATCGTAAGCCAACCACATCAAACCAAACTATCCACAACACATCTTACCATCCTCCATCACAGAAGTACGCCGCGTATAATAGCATGTTATATAGACTGTTAAATGTTCCCATGTCAGACGAAAATTATAATAAAGAACTAAATATTATCAAGCACATAGCATCATCAAATGGTTACAACAAAAATATGATTGACAGATTATTAAGTAAGAAAACAAATAATAATGATAAGAAATCTGGAGATGTTCAACAACAAAAGAAGAAGTATGTGTGTGTAGAATACTCACACTCAATTCAGTATACACTTACAAAAGAGTTGAAGAAACATGGTATTGAATTAGCGTTTAAAACAAACAACAAGACAATTAACAAATTAAATGTGTCGGATAGTATTATTGACAAAAGTGAGAAGTCAGGTGTGTACAAAATTAAATGTGCAAGTTGCCCAAGCTTTTACATAGGAAAAACTGGATGGACATTCGGAACTAGATACAGAGAACATCATCCATGCCCAAGAACCGACAAACAAAAATCCTCCTTTGCACAACACCTGGTTGACGAAAATCATTACATGTACGATCTGAACAATGGCCTAGAGATACTCCACACAAGCAAGAAAGGAAATAAACTGGATACACTGAAAGAATATGAAATTTACAGAGTTTTTAAAGAAAATAGTTTAGATGACACAATTTTAAATGAGAAACTGCAATACAAATCACACTTCATATTCAACAGCATTTTAAACCAGGACAATAATAGACCAAAGGCAAATAATAGTACAAAGGTCAGCTGATAACACCGCCACACCAACAACGATGCAGGATTAACCTCCAGTCGGCATCTAGCTCTGATCATGTCAACCGGTAACGTGTGTGCGACAGGCCTGTTAGTTTTATTTTTGTGTATTTGTATTCGTAAAATGTGTTTGTGTTCTTGTTATATGTTTCTACTGTGACGACGCTGCTTCAGCCGAAGACGTCTGATGATGGCATGTTAATGCCGAAACGGCCGTAACGGAAGTTACAACTTATTGAGCTGTAGACAAAAGGTAAAAACAATTTTTTAGTTATATCACAGCTCAGGGGCTAAAAATATGGATTTTAATTCGCCTTTACTACTTCCTTCATCACTTCATACGTCACGGAGCTGTTTCCCTCCCTTCCCATAGCATATTAGGATTGCAAATACCTTAATCTAATCGTCATAAACAGTTCCCACACTCCAGACTGTTCGACTTTACTACTTCCTTAATCACTTCCTACGTCACAGACCTGTTTTCCTCCCTTCCCATAGCATTTTAGGATTGCAGATACCTTAATCTAATCGTCATAAACAGTTCCCACACTCCAGACTGCTTGCCTTTACTACTTCCTTCATCACTTCCTACGTCGCGGACCTGTTTTCTTCCCTTCCTATCTCATTTAAGTATTGCAGATAGGTACCGTAATCTAATCGTCATAAACAGATCCCACACTCCACACTGCTACCCTTGACTACAATGTATCGAGTAATCTTCAGTATAAAGAAAGAACCAAGTAAGACATGAGATAATTCTTCATTTCCTCGTCCATTGCAAACTTCTGGAAGACACTTGTTCTTGATGTAAATTAATATTATCAATGTCCATGTCACAAGCAAAAATACTCTACAGATACGTTTTTCCCCCAGTTGGTAAGGAAACATGAGTCTCTTTCCAAACTCTATGGTTCTTGTGTCCACTATGTACAAAACATTTGTCTGCAACATCAGTTGTTGGGTTATCCTATACTCTAATATGAGCAATGTTTGCTTATGTATGCTTGCTTGCTTGCTTGCACAAAGATCTCGAAAACGGCTCTGACGATTTTCTTTAAATGTTGTAAATAGTTTATTCCTGGCCTAAAAACGAGTTTACTGCAGTTAGAACTGCTAACAAAAATCTAACTACGTAGAAAAATGAAACTGAAAGTCACATTTTTTTAACATTAGTCTTATGGGTTGCTAAGTAACCATCTTGGCTTAATTAAATAACAAGTTAAAAGTAAACAAAAGAAGTACTTTTAAGTTGCCTATCCACAGTATAATAGCAAATTACATATACAGTACAAAAGGAAAAACATCAGTTGTTACTATTGAGCAAAGATGATACTTTGCGCAAAGATTGGTCTTACCTGTCACTACTTACGTACCAAGTTTCAAGTTAATCGCTTACGGAATTCGAAAGTTATGGATTCATTTGTGAAAATCACATACAGACGGACAGCCGGAAAACGAGGCTCCGGCGACCCATGTTTATAATGTAAAATATTCTTGTATTAACCCAAGGACCAATCCCGTGAATTTTTTCGAGAGAGTTCACAAACACCCTGTATAGATGGCAAATCAAAAACTAATAGGGGGTTTTTAGGGTAAAAATGGGGTTTTACAATTTTTGAGCTTCTAAAACTTTGCAATTTTCCCTACGATGCACATGAGCTAAAATAACGATTTTAAAGAAATATGCTTGCCTTCTTTAGTATTAATACATAGATGGCAAATAAAAAATTATCCGATTTTGGTGAAATTTGGTATAAAAGTGTATATCTACAGTACATTTATTTGGACAAGCTCGCGAACCAGCATGATCAGACTGGGATCAGGGGTTTTTAGGGTAAAAATGGGGTTTTCCCATTTTCGACCCTCTAAAACTTTGCACTTTCTTTCCAAATAATTTTTTTGAACTAAAAATAGATAAGTATGTTGAAGTTGTTGTAAGCCTAATAGTTATGGGGAGAATTAAACAAAAAGCAAGTTTAAAATTCCCAACTTTTTCTTATGGAGAATAAGTAGACTAATATAATATTCTTGTATAGAGATGTATTTTAATCACATTTGGCCCAATTATTTCATACTAAGCTATTAAAATTTCAATAAAACATACACTTCATTTCCTTCCCTATAGCAGCAAACCTAAGTAAGTACTAATTTAATTTTAATGGAAAACAAATCTGACAAATCTAACCAGGTATTTGGAAACTCGCTTAGTCTGCAGGTTTGTTGCGGTGGGGGTTATAGTTTTTATTACTAAATGATTAGGTTAAATTAGCCAAGTACATGGAAGGCTAAAACTACTGTGTTTGTTAAAGCCATCGGAGTAAACAGTAATGTCCCCCAACACTGCTATAACGGCTCTGTGAGCTCTAAACCGATTCTCATGGTGTTAACATTATCCATTATTCTCCCATTTACCCATATTAACATTCATTATGTTGCTTACATTTTTAGCACAGTTATAGAGTACAGTAATTTCTTACATTTTTGGCTTTTTGTACAAATTTATGCAAAGAAAGATTTAAAACAATAAAACAATAAAAGCAAACTATTTTTTTCTAACAAAAATAAATACAATTTATCTTAGTTTATTTTTGATTTTATTCATAAAAATGTTTCCAACTTACATCTGAGTTGAATAATTCGATCAGGAAAAAACTTTTAAACCAACATAGAGCTCACATCGTGACTGGACACTTGTCGGCCCTTAATTTACCATTGGGATTATTTTACTTGACTTTCACTTTGCTCATCATAATCAAATTATAAAGGCCCTGTAATTTCATTTACTCGTGTTTTAGGTGAAAGAGAATTTTATGGTTGTGTTATCTAATGGGAGTAAGAACACTTGACGAGCACGGAAATGCAGAGAAGCACAGTCGAAATCATTTTCTTTAATCTGCCAGTAGAGTCCGGAGTAGAAATTTAGTTTGCCTCCGTTTGTTTGCGTGTGCAAAAAGCTTGCAACAGAGGACGTGGTAAAAAGTTTTTTTATTACTTTCTTTGGCACTGCTTTGTTACTGGATTGGGAAGGTGGCGTCGTCCTGTAATCTAGCTGCTAGGAAGTAACGAATTGTGGATATTTATAGGCATGCACTGTGGATGCGATGTTCCCTGGTGTGGAATGTGGATTAACGTCCGCACTAGTGAGTACTACGACTATCCGCAGTACTATCCTGATAATTAGACCAATTCGTTAATTAAAAGGAAAAATGTGTTTCGGATTCCACTATAAACTGTAGGTCCCTTATTTGCCACTGGCTGTATGGGCTATTAAATAACAGCTGTGTCTAAGGAATAATGTTGGCCTCATCAACTAACAAGACTACAAGATCGGGCCACTCATCCTTCACTCATATTTGGGTTAAAATATGCACATAGAGTCCCCATCTTAAATAATTGATAATTCCTTATCTGACTTTACCATTGTCAATTTTGGTTAAAAAGTCGAGACACTAAAATTAAAATGATATTCACAAACTATCCTCTAGCAAATAGCTTTAGAAACAGTTACAACTTACCGAGGCACAGGAATGTGGGTTCCCCAGCGTACTGGGTGGGGTAGGAGGGGGCTCGGTCACCCGGTAGAAAGAAGGGACACTTCTGTTCCACCCTCTGGCAGACGGACCGACAAGGCTTGACTCTGTGACGGCCATGTAGCCAGTGAGGCACCAGGGAGGCACAAACCCACTGTCGGTACGCTTCCTGTGACATAACAGAAGTATGAGGGAGGGATACACACAAAAGATAGATGTCAAACAATTTCTTAGTCAAAAGAAAATTAAAAATATTCAATTCAAATGTCCATAGTGTGATATTGAATGGCTGAGAATTCTGGAAAATAAGTAAATCAACACATCCTATTGTCAAAAAACTGCAAGTCTTAATAAATGGATGCTTGAAAAAGACCCTAAAAATTAAATAGACAAAAAAAAGAGGAATTGTGGTCCCAAACAAACCAGAGGTACCGATAAAAGAAGGAAAGGTGAAAGGGACAAACCATAAGAAAGGATCAGGGGTATGTTGCCAAAGAAGCCCTGAAATGGAACTCTGCTGGTAAAAGAAGAGGTCGGAGACCAAGAAATAAATGGAGAAGGACATTGATGGAAGAGATGAAACTGGAAGGTAAGACCTGAAGGTTTCAACAGAGACAGTGAACAACAGAGTGAGGTGCAGAGAGACAGACTCCCAAGGAGGAGTCCATGGGACTAAGATCAAGTCTTAGACATACACACATTCTTGATAGGACATACATCAACATAACAATCTTACTAATATTATAAATGGATATGGATTTTTTGTGAGTTAGTCTGACCACTACGTAAAAACTAATGGATAAGTCGAATTGAAATGTTGCAGGAGTAGAGCTAATATATAACATGAATAAATAATTTGCTGAGTCACTCTTAACACATCTAACAAACATAGCGACGTTGACAACTAGAGTAGCGGCTACAAATCGCTAGGTGTGACATAGTAAGTAGCAGTAAATAGCACTCACCATATAAAAATTCAGTAGCGCAAGTAATAGGACATTTTCTATTTTTGAAGCTACACTAGTCGCTGGTAGTCAAGCAACTCATTGAATTTGGGTACGATTTCAATAGTAATACGATTGAGGGTCCTCACTCGCTAGTTCTTTTATAAGCGTGCCAAACTTATGTCTCCTTACTATCCAATCCCATACCCATAATTCCGTTTATTCTTATTCCTTGACCTTGCATTGTGTTACGAAGCAACTCCTAACTCATCATACATTTCTCTTACTACAAGAGACGTTCGTAAGACCTGTTGGCTCATCCCCACTGATGACATGGCAATGCTTCAAAACACAGAAGCACAATAGAAGCATTTCACTGTATTCACTATTACCAATCTAGTACTAGTCGCCTAGTGTGACGGCAACGAAGCAATTATTGGCGAGTGTGATTAGTTGCCACTACTAGTAGTGACGAGCAAAGTCGCAATGTGTGATATGCCTTTAAGGTGGGTCTGCACAGGTGGTATTGGTCCAATCAGGGTTAGTGTGGATGGGTACTCGTTTACCCATCATTCGGCCTATAAGTCAGTACTTGTTGGTTGCTGTGTTGGTGTTTTCCACAAAACTCCAGGGTTCTAGCTTTGCACCTGTCTATCCTTCCTACGTCACTGATGGTGAAAGCATAAAATTAAATAATGGCAGGTTTGGTATGAAGCTAACTAATCAGGTAGGTATATATAACAAGTTTATCTAATCAGACACATCTTATTAAATGTATTCATTTTTGTGTTTATCTACAGTCTACACCAATGACAGTGGTCTAAACCCAGGTGTTGTTATTATGTATAATTAATTCTTGTATTCCTATAATATATACTAATGAATAAAGATGTTTTGAATTGAATGTACCGACATTTTTTTAGGTAGCATCATTGATTGATAGCCCAATTATTATATGTACAGTTTACCGCATAAGCTTGAAAAATTTTACAAACATATAGAACTTTCTGATATTAGATAGTTCAATTAAGACTTAACCATTGACTATTGGATACTGAAAATAATTTTATTTACTATTTTAATTTTGATTTTTTCATGTAAAAACTTTTATATTGCACCGTTTCTTTTACTTTATTTGAGCTGAAAAGCTATTAATATTGATGGTATGTTGAAAGTCATGCATGATAATGATGTGTTTAGTTAAGTTGCGTAGAGAATGTGCTAGGGTCTAAAATTATATTTTCTATCTTATTTTTTGTTGCTTACCAAGTTGCGAGCCTTTTAAAGTTGCTATAGCCCACAATAAGTCATTACATTAGTTAACTTGATGAAAAGGTTTGTGTATTCAACAGAAATTAGTAATTTAGATCAGCGCAATCTATCATCCGTTGCTCACATCAACTATGACAATTTTGATTTAAAAAACAGGTGAAAACTTTAACATGGGGATGGATTGTCTAGTTTTATCAATAGTCAAAGCTAACTGAACTACTAAAGATTTTTTTTACTTAAAGTGGAATTATCGGACGATTTATCCTACTGCACTGCGACTTGCACTATTACTTTGGAGGGCGACAACAGCGGACATGTCAGTATTCGGTAATCAGCTGTTCCCCCGAGCCAATCCCAGTGACTCACTCTCATAATGACTGCGCCTTGGGAATCGCTTCGTTTTCTCCTGTTTTCTCTATTTGCTTCCAAAAAAGTGTGTCTTTGAACCCTAAACGTTTTGGACAAAAAGGGATAGGATTTAAGGAGGCTGGTCATGTTTGATGATAACCCTCCGGTATTGTAATTGCATGATTTGTTTTAAAGAAGTTTGGTAATTCAGATACTAGTTGTTTTTTGAATGGATTCAGCATCAAGTTTTGTTTGAAGTAGTTGTAGAAGGAGTGAATGGAAGAAAAATAACTTATATTCAAGTTTACAGTACAGTAATTTTTATAACAATCAGTGAAAGAGTGTCACAAAAGATTTGACTGCTTACAAGTTCATATGAAATGTTATAAAAAACCACCCAGGATCACTTTACTTTATAATCCTGTTTGATTTCGCACAACACTGTACACCACTTGCATTGTTAATCTGTTTCAGTTAATAGCTCAGTTTGCATGTTGGATCCTTGCACTGTGACATGATCTATTTTTTTAAAGAAGTTTTCAAGTAAAATTAATATATTGCATCTTAGTAGTCTATCTTGTTAATTTGGTCTTAGTGACTACAACCTATAACCTGTCGTAAACTTGTAATCCAAGCTACAAAAGCAAAGAAACACATTTACATAACTATTTGGGCCAACAAGTTTCACAGTAATACTGGAGTTGGCAAAGGCCACTGTAGGTATGAACAGAAAGGTAGATAGAGGTGCATTATTAACAGAAAGTGTCCTCAGTCAGCTTTAGAGGTGTTCAGTTTGTGTTATCTATCTGTTGATCAGACTGCCGGCTCACCTGTTGCAATATTCGACTAGCTTGATTAAATATTTGACTTGCATATTAATCAATTCCTGTGCTTACAGTTCAAATTCACTCAAGCGTAATCTTACAAACTCAAAACGTTTCTATAATACTATTCACAATAATAATAATTAAAACTGATAGTCAACGCAACTTTAAGGTTATGTGAAGAAGTAATTTCAGGAATCGGCAAAAATAGTAATAAACAGTTGCTAGGCAACGGTGAAAATAAAAAAATTCTATTATTAAAAAAATAATAGATAATAATATTCTATTATTGTTAAAAATTCTATTCTATAGCGGGCAGATGATTTTGAGGCCCCGGGATGTAAAAACCTGCTCGGTCCCCAAGTTACGATGACAGAGCTGGCATGGCCAGCAAAACGCAACTTTCAGCCACCAATTAACGTATGTAATATAGCCAAAAACATCATAGTGTGGTGAAAACACTGTATCACTAACTTCTAGAAACACCTGCATGTGAGATAATTCATTTATTGTTTATTACCAGTACAGAAATATGAAAGAGTTAAAAGATAATAATGTTGAAAGATTTGTAAACTGGGCATAGGGACATGACTAATTGGCAAATGAAACGTAGACAATTATCTAATAGAAAATAGAGTGAATAATCAACTAGGGACAGGGCTAGAGGATAGAAAGATTGAGAAACTGGACATAGATTAGCTAATAGAACTGCAGACAACAAGATAGGAAGATTAACATACTCTGTCACAAGGCTAGAGAATAGGATGGATAGTGAACTAGACACAGTGTTAAAGGTCAGGATGAATAGTCACCTAGTCACAGCTCTAGAGGGTAGGATAAATAGTGAACTAGTCATTGTGTTAGAGGGCAGGAACAATAGTGAACAAGTCATCATGTTAGAGGACAGGAAAAATAGTCAACTAGTCATCGTGTTAGAGGACAGGATAAATAATTAACTGATCACAGCTCTAGAGGACATAATAAATAGTCAACTGATCACAGCTCTAGAGGACATAATAAATATTCAACTGATCACAGCTCTAGAGGGCAGGATAAATAATTAACTAGTCACAATGCTAAAAGACTGGAAAAATATAGTAAACTTGTCATTGTAATAGAGGACAGGGAAATAGTCAACTAGTCACACCTCTAGAGGACAGGATAAATAATCAATTAGTCACCATTCTTAAGGACAGGGGAAATATTGAACTAGTCATCGGAGAGGACAGTGAAAATACGTTGTTTACCTTTTGGATAGAGCGTTAACTTATAAATTCATCAAGAACCTGGCAACCAAAAGGTAAACAACATAATTAATTATTTGTTCATGAATCTGGGAATACCACATAAACAGTGAAAATAGTGAAATAGTCACAGCTCTAGAGGACAGGATAAATAATCAGTTAGTCACCATGCTTAAGGACAGGAAAATAGTGAACTAGTCATCGTGTTAGAGTACAGGAAAATAGTCAACTAGTCACACCTCTAGAGGACAGGATAAATAATCAGTTAGTCACCATGCTTAGGGACAGGAAACATAGTGAACTAGTCATTAAGTTAGAGGACAGCGAAAATAGTCAAATAGTCACAGCTCTAGAGGACAGGATAAATAATCAAACAGTCACAGCTCTAGTGGACAGGATAAATAGTCAACTAGCCATAGCTCTAGAGGATAGTGAAAATAGTCAACTAGTCACAGCTCTAGAGGACAGGATAAATACTCAAATAGTCACAGCTCTAGAGGACAGGATAAACAACCAACTAGTCACAGCGCAAGTGGG